ATATATATATATATATATATATATATATGAACGTTTCCAGTGTATATGTATACTTAACGAAACATGCTGGGTTTATATTTTTTTAATATTTGAAGAGAAATTGAAAACAGTCACTTTTCTACCCTGTTCCTTGAGTTCCTGGGAGCCTAGACTAGGTCAGTTTTTGAACCTGAGTCTGTCTGGGTTGGGGAAGGGCAGTCACTACAAACTCCCCGAAGTTATGTGCAAGGTGTCATGTCGGTGCACATGAGTGTTTTTCTGGGAGACAATTCTTACCTTCCATCAGGTCCTCAGAGAGGATTCTTCCCCACTGAAACTTAAGACCCTACGTGATGTTGTATACTTGTGGCTCCTCCTCCCACCTCCTGCGGTCTGTCTCGTTCCGTTCTCCCAGCCTTGGCAGGGACAAGCCGGTTAAGCCAGTGGGGCTTGCTCGCCAGCTTGCCTGTCCTAAGGCCCCCGTGGTGGGGTGCCCAGTCAGTCCCATGTCAGAAAAGCCATGATTAACTTTGCTTGCATTCAGCTGCATTAAACCAGATCCAGGCAGTGCACGTGTTGCTCTGCAGAAGGAGCATATGGGGTGTACCTCGCCAAACGTCAACCTAATTAGAGAACCTTTTTGAGAGGAAATCCTGAAGAACTCACTGCAATCCTGAAACACTGGACTAGTTGGCCTCCCAGGTTCCTTCTGATTCCAACATGAAATTCAGTCTTACGTCCTTGACAGTAGAGAAGTGGAACAACACCTCTACAGTTTGCTTTCTCAGATGGGTGGGCCATGTTGGGCAGACCACTCAGTGCTTTATAACCAAGACACTCACCTCTGGGTGGGGCAGCTGTTCAGGCCTCACTTTGTGGGGAGAAAGGGCAGCTGTTTATTTGAAGCTACAGCTCCCAGGTTTTCCACACCTCAGCTCACATGCACACAAAGCCAGGGCCTGGCCGTCAGCCCACTTGCCCTCATGTGTACCCTTGGCCAGCCTGTGGCAGTCTCGCGATTGTATGGTGACATAAAAGGCACAGCATTGCCCTTGGCCCTGAGGCTGCACCTCGGTCCCGCCTCCTGGTCGTTCTGCTGTCTCCTGTGCTGTCTCCACCGGCGGCTGGCAGCGGGAGTGACTGCTGTCTCTTTCCTCCCTTTCTGGCCCTTTCATAGGCGTCTGCACATGCAGCCCTTGACGACGGGCTCATCAAAGCATTTCTCCCAAAGTCTGCATCAGCAGTTCTGAGCATGGAAACCCTTTGTCAGCAGAGGCATTGTTTAGCCAGGTTCAGGCATCATCCAGTGGTATCCTTGTGTTCTGTTTTAAGACAGCAGTCACATAAACACTTGCAGTAACACAGCCTGGAGTCCCTGTGACTTGGGGGCCTCAGTTAGAGGTGGCAAGTTTCCCGATGGAGGCTGCAGCCCCCCGTGTGGGGCTGGAAGCAGTGGGGAGGCTGTGCTGTCTGCTGCTCGGCAGTGCTCGCCTGCAGCATATGACTGACCTGACAGCTTTGTCTCCAGCATTCAGGTTGAACTGGAAGCCGAGGCCGAGCAGATGCGGGTGTCGCAGCAAGAACTACTTTCTATTGATGAATCCGTTTACACTCCAGACTTCGATGTGGCTACACCACAGATAAACAGGAACCTCATCCAGAAGGCTGGTTACCTTAATCTTAGAAAGTGAGTGCACCAGGGCCTGTTTTTATAATAAGCTGTTTTCCCAAGGAGTAGCTGCAGAGCATCTGCCGAGTGCCCCATTAAAGGGTGGAGTGGGTGAGGTTGGGAAGGAACTCCTACCACAGGGACACGGGAAGCCTCCGGAGCCCAGGCCCCAAACACTGAGAGATGGCCTTGAAACAGCGGTGTGAGTGAAGGGCACAGTGTGTGTGGGCTCCAGGGCACTGGCCATCGCTGGCCCTGGTCCCCATGGCCGTTTGCAGATAGACTGCCCTGTCATCATCCGGGACCACTGAGAGCTAATAGTCCACCACTGCACGTCCCCCCAGGCCTCTGACAGGTGGGAACGGTGATAGAGGCCCACCACCAAGGCCAGAGTCTGAGGGCCAGCAAGCCCTCAGAGTCACAGGTTCACGAAGACTGGATCACATTCTTAACGCTCAGGTCTTAAAAACCATTTGAGTTGAAGGGATGATTCGATTTAACTGTGTCTAAGAGCAGAGGAGGCTGTTGTCAGGTGTGCCGAAGATTCTGACTTTGGTTTAGTCGGACACTCTGGCTGGGTCGCTTCATCTGTACAGAGTGATAATTGCACCTGCTTCATAAAGTTGTTACAAGGATTAAATGAGGTCATCCCTAGCAGATAGTTAAGGACTCAAATGGTAGCTATTACCAGTTTTTGGAAATTAATATCATTATTGAAGCAGGAACCTAGTGCCTTGCACATAGCTGCTACTCAGTAAATACTAAATCAAGCAGATATATCTGATGTCACCCAAGTGGAGGCTCAAGGAAGAGGATTGGCAGCTGTTTTCTTACCAGGGTAGAGTTCCTCAAGGTCTATAAGACTAGATCTCAAGCCAATTGTCTCCTTTAGTTTGTATGAATACAAAACTTCCTAAGATTCTGGTGTTATTTGCCAGTTTCTGGATTATCCTCTTGTAAGCAGCCCACAAAACAAGAATAATATCCAGTTAGAGCAAACCTCAAACTGGTAAATTCCTCCAGGCGTGTGTGTGCTGCGAGCCAAGATGGCCCTGGTGACTCCAGATCTCAAGCAGTTCAGTGACATGTGTTAGAGAAATGAGCTTCCAGTTTTTAGCTCCTAATGGTGATGAGCTCACTGTTTCCAGATATGAGGTAGATGTCAGAGTCTGGCTGCAATGGGAGTAGCCACCTCCTGCCCACACACTGTAGCTGGCATCTCTCATGTGCACAGAACCCATCATCTCCCAGGTCATTCAAGCTAAATTGTGCCTCTTGTGCTACTCTGCACTTGAATTACTTTCAAAGCAGTTTTGCTTTAATATCAAGAATTACATTATTTCTCAAGTGTCCACCAATACCCATAAAATAGGCAGCAAGACCTTGAGGTGCATTCATGCTTACTAGTACTAATGGGCTCTTTGAAAACACAATCCTTACAGTAAAACAGGGCTGGTCACCACCACCTGGGAGAGACTTTACTTCTTCATCCAAGGCGGGAATCTCATGTGTCAGCCCCGGGGAGCCGTGGCTGGAGGCTTGATCCAGGACCTGGACAACTGCTCGGTGATGGCAGTGGACTGTGAAGACCGACGCTACTGCTTCCAGATCACCACTCCCAATGGAAAATCGTATGCCACCCAGGTTTTATTTGGGAGGAGAACCAGTGTAGTGACTCTGCCCCCGCCAGCAGCCTGTAGCTCATGCCTACGTGCCAGCCCTACCCTGGAGAGGCCCCGCCCGGGTGGCGGTGACCTTCCAGGAGGATGTTTCATGTTCCCTGTCAGCAAGCACATGTGAGCCATGTGGGATCCAACCCGCCTTAGTGAAGGAGGCCCAGGGAGGATGTGTCTGTGGCTTTGGAGAGGAGATGACCTAAATGAGTAGGAGCCGTTTGTCAGCACAGATTCTCAGGCCAAAAAGTCTGGGACTACTCCTCGCCTGCCCCTAAACAAGCACTGGTGTTTGTGTCATGGTGGGGCAGGCGTGAGGGAGAGTAGGTAAGGAAGACCTGCCTGCGGAGGCCATCACTCCAGTAAAACAGGAGATGTGACTAGTACCTTCAGCTGCAGCATGTCATTCCTTAATGCGCCGTTCCCCAGACTCCCTGTACCTTAGGGGCCCAGAAGAGGTCGTGCTTCCAAGATGGCCGCCTTGTAGTCTTTGAGAGTAGATCCCATCCCAGTGGGACCCCCCTCTCAGAGCAGTGGTTCCAGACTGTGCTCTGAGGAGTGCGGAGCCCAGAGGTGCTTCACAGCTCCCCTGCCCCGTCCTGACTACTCCACTGCGTGTGCTTTTCATGTTGGGGTTCCGAGCTGAGATTGGATTTGATAGCATATTCAGGAGGGGTGGGCACGTCTCCTCTCCCAGGCTGGGGCTCAGTTTTAGACATCATCCTCCCACCAGGCGATAGGAGATGACCTAGGAAGGAGGATGCCTGGATTCTAGTCATAGTCCCAGGAAGTCACTGAATTCTGGGCCTCAGTTTCCTCAGAGAGAAAATAGGGGTAAAATCTGTGGTCCCCAGCTCCCCAAAGATGCTTCGGGATCAAAGGAACTAGCAGACATGGAGTCTCCTGAGTTAAGCTTTCACGAAGGCATGGCAGTGTTATTTGTGTCCTCATCGCCTGTTCCTGGGCCCTTCACGTGCAGATGCTCTAGCTTGGGGAGGAGAAACGGCTGCTAAATCCTTCTCTGAGTGTGGATGGGAGGAGCGGCCGGGCTGGGGTCCTGGTTGCCTCGGACCAAGGAGTGGCCAACAGGCTGGCCCACGCTGAATTCATGGACTCGGGCTGGTAGGTCTGAGTCCATCCCGCTCATCATAGATGAGAAAGCTGAGGCGCAGGGAGAGGAAGCATCTGTCCCAGATCACAGTGAGTGGGCAGCCAGGGCCAGAACCCCCTCGTGCCTCCTTCTCCTCATGCTGCCTCCTGGCCCTGCCCTCCGGACCCCAGCTGAGTTCGCTCTGTGCAGGATGATCCTTAGTCGCTGAGATCTGGGAAGCACTTACTTGGATGCACTTTATTTCAGGGGAATCATCCTGCAGGCAGAAAGCCGAAAGGAAAATGAAGAGGTAAGAATTTTGTTCGTTGCGCTTCTTTCCTAGTCGAGTGGGTGACTTTGGGATTCATCGGTTTTTTTAATGTCCTGTACAGTGGATATGCGCAATAAACAACATCTCCAGACAGATCTACCTGACCGACGACCCAGAGGTAATTACCTACACTCAGCCCTTGGCTCAGTCTGAAATGGAAGCGTCTGCCTCCTGGGCCTGAGCGGGTCTTCTTTGTGGATTTTTAGGCTTTTGCCATCAAGTTGAATCAGAAGGCTCTCCAAGCTGTGACTCCCATTACAAGTTTGGGAAAAAAGCAAGAAAGCCCATGCCCCAGGTAACTAAAAAACAGTGGAAAACTTCTTTCATCCTCATAAACCACTCAAGGGTAATGTCAGCTCTGTTCTACAGAAACAGCTGTTGTGGCTAGAAAAGGTTAAACATTTTGCCCATGTTCACACCACAGATGAGAAGCCAAACTGGGACTCAGAGCTGTCCGACTGCAGTGCCCACGTCCTCCCACCCCTGCAGTCCGAGCAAGGACTCACCTCGGGAGCCTCTGTACCTGGGAGTTCTGCTTACGTTTTCTGTCGGCATCAACAGAGAACCAGAACAAAAATTTTTTTAAATAAGAGACAAAATCACCCTTTATGTGTCCATAAAGGCTCAGGCCTTATTTGTACACATACTGATATTTACACGTGTTTATTTTGAATTTTCACATATTTCTCAAAATTGTTCCCTTTAATAATTACACTATTCCATCATCTTTATTATTAGCTATTGAATATTTAGGTTGTCTCCCTTTGTTTGCTGTTATCATTTATAGTAAACATTTTTATGCATGTAGCTTTTCTCTTGTGTTGAATACTGCTTTAGGATTTATTCCAGGAATGCCACCTTTTGTCTTACTGGGAGTTTCTGTTTGCTTAAGTAATAGAAGGCTGAATTACTTGTTATGCTAATGAAAGCACGGCATCAAAAGGCAGATTAACATTAGGACCATATTTGGGGTCCATCTTTTAGTGGCATGGTAGAAAGAACCCCATTAAATGTTCTACAGGAATCACCTGATGACTCCAGGAGAAAGTGGCCAGAAAGCTCTGAGTGGTTAAGTAACTTGCCAGGGTCTCCATGCTGTGCAGTGTGGAGCCAGTGTTCACGCGCCTGCCCTGGGTCCCTGAGAAGGAGCAGTTCTAGACAAGGCCAGAGAATAGGCTTGAGCCGGATTGTGAAAGAATGAGCTGCCTTGTTTAGGTGTTAGCAGCAGTGGAGCAGAACCAGAGGCTTTGAGAAAAGGGTGGCACGGTGAGAACTGGTGCGGGTAGATTGTTCTGCAGCCTGTGCAGGACAGACGGGACGGCACACGGCAGGGAGAAGGGAGGCGCAGTGGGGCGCAGCAGGGAGCTGCTGTCATGGCAGCTGGAAAGAGACCATGAGAACCTGAACAAAGGTAATAAAAATGGGGAAGAGGCAACAAGTCGGAGTGCTGTAATGTAAGCATGTAACAGTTCGCACACGTAGCATGTTTATTAAGTGCAGCTCTAAGTAAAGCGCTGTGTGAATGAGAATGGAAATAAAGATCCGCCATGGAGCTTATCTGTGAGCCCTGTCCTAGGTATGTGTCCCTGTCTGCTCTTTGTAAAGGTACAAAAAAGGTAGCTGAGCACAGTGGAGAACACCCGCCTCAGGAGGCCTTCTGGTAACAGCTGCGCCTTGAGCGCGGCTCGATGTCCATGAGTGAATGAGTCAACTCTCTGGGCCTCTCCTCTGTCTCCTCAATTTTGTGATGGAAGATGAGAAACTAGACAACTTCCAAGGCCCGTTGAGCTCTAATAGGCAATCTTTCTAAGATGCTGATGTATAATTTAATTAGTGTTAGTAATTAGAAAGTGTGATTGGTTTTCTAAAAAAGTTTTCAGTAACTGATTTTTCTCTCTGGTCTAGAATAAGTAAATCACGTTCTTAGCAAGGATCCATAGGAGCAACACAGGAGAATCTCTGAAAATAAATGACACTAGCCAGCCAGCCAGATGAATCAACCCAGAGATTGAAAGGGTGACAGATGTGACACATGGTCCCAGAGCCATGGAGGGGAGGGTGTACTTTCTCTCCTAAGGTCAACTCATTAAGAACAAAGACATATTTTGATGGCAATGGGGGAAGAGAAACTGTGTTCTTTGGAAATGACAGGCCGTCATTCACTTCTAAGCCTCCCCTTATTCTGCAGTTCGTGTAGATCTAAAGTTCATGCACTTATCCAGCTATTCAGCAAATGTTTGTTGAGTACCTGCTCTGTGTCCAGGCACTGGGTGTGGCCATGAAAGTTAACAGACTCATGGGGAAAACAGGCAGAAGGTAAACAAATACTTGGTTAAAATGAAGAAAAGCCTGATGATGTTAAAGGCGAGGGTTCTGATGTTAAAGGCAAGGGTTCTGATGTTAAAAGCAGGACCTCTGAAGGGCCTGTCTGTGGAGATAATATTTAAACTGAGAAGTGAAAGACAAGTGTCCAGCTTGCAAAGAGGCACAGATGGCTCATCCCCAGTAGCAGTTACGGAGGCTGTAAGGCAGAAAAGAGTTTAGTGTGTTTGAAGAACTGAAAGGGGACCAGTAGAAGGCTGAGGGGGATTGTGGAGCAAGATGGGGTTGGGGAGAGGTAGACAAGGACAGATCATGGTCAGGAGTTTGGGGAGCAGTGGAAGGCTTTTGGGAGGGGGGTGTTCAGTGTGTGCAGAGAGAGAGGTGATCCATTTTACATCTTCCAGCTCAGCTCTGGCAACTGTGCAGGACACGGAACACAGAGCTGGGCAGGTGGGGATCTAGTTAGGAGCCCGTAGCAGCGGCCTGGGTGAGACGGTAGCTGTGTAAGCCAGGCTCATGGCAGAGGAGATGAAAAGTAAGTGGATTTGGGACTTGCTTGCAGGCAGAATCTCTAAGACTTGTGAATCACTAGATGTGGAGTGGAAGGAAAAGGACAAATCAAAGCATGTCCACAGTCTGGGTTGAGCACCTGGGCAGATGGTGGTGGTATTTAGAGAGATGACAAGGAATTGGTAGTGGGTTTCAAGAGTTCGCTTTCAGACATAGTAAGTTTGAGAGGCCCATGAAACATCCCAGTGAGTTGTGAAGTAGATCACTGCTGGTACAAATCTGGAGCACAAAGAAAATGTCTTGGCCAAATGTGAATCAGGAACTCATCAGCATGGAAATGGCAGTGGAAGAAATCATCTAGGGAGAGAGTGTACAGGGAGAAGACCTGGGGCCCAGGACAGAACCCTAAAAGAACTCCCCCATTTGGAGTAGAGGAGGAGGAGCCTGCAAAAGACACTGAAGCATCAAGAGAAGTGGTTTCAGAAGGAACCAAGCAGGAAGAGTTTCGAGAAGTCTGTGTCAGGTGGTTTGAGAGATCGAGTGGGACGATGCTCAGTGTCCATTAGTGGACGGCATGGCGATTAGAGGCAATGCCTCTCCTGTCACTCCTGTTGTTCAAGGAGGCTTCAGTGGCTTCCTCTGCTGTAGCATCCAGTCCAGACCTCGCCTGATGGTGATACTGCCCTCTACTGCCTGGCCTCCTATCTTTGTTATGTTATCTTCCCTTAGGCCCTTTGGGGAGCCAGAATCTTGGACGCACTTTCTCCCCTTTTAGCTTGTACTCATCGCTTCCTCCAGTGCTTCCCACTTCCTAAATCATGCCCCTCTCTTAAAGACATAAAATAGCAGGTGTGATTCTCCCCTTGGGTTACTGAGCCAGTGTGTGACTGTCCACCATCCTGTCTGTTGTGTTTCTTTCCATCCAATATGCTCATTCATCAAATGTCTATTGTAGTTCTATACAGTATAATCAGTTGCAGACATACTTGAGAAATAAGAAAATAGTCATATACAAAACATCGAATGAACAAAGAATTTGAGAGCCTTTTTATGGTCTAAACAATGTATGAAATCAAAACACTGACATTTTTTGCCCAGAGGAATTTACACTAAGCTGGGAAGAAATTTTAATATAAAAATATTAAGTTAAATTACAGCATTCTGACACAGAGGAGAAACATAGTGGCACACACCTGATCACTGTGCAGACAGTTGTCTACTTTTACATGCCCATGATTTCAGTAGCAGCGTGTGGCCCAGCGCAAAGCTCAGGAGGCACACGGAGGTGCAAAACCGCCCCGGGGACCAAGAAGAACCACGGGAGTGCAGAGGAGGGAGGGGGCCAGGCTCTCTCCACAGGCTGAGCGGATGAATAGGAATTTGAGCTGTTTCAAGTATGGGTGAGAGTTGGGTGAGTGGTGGAGTTGGGATGGATGCGGAAACAAGGAAAAACATAGGGTGTTTGATGCAGCTAGTGGAAAGTGCGTTAATGGAGAGAGAGGTGCTCAGTAGAAATTAGAGCCAGGCTGTAATGGAATGCTAGGCCAAGGTATATTATTGAGTTAACATTTTGACTGCCAACTATGTACCAAGAAATTTAGCCATAGCCCCTGCCCTCAGAAACTTGTCTCACGGGGATGAAGAAAGAAACCAAAAATCAGCAGGTAATGTAGTAAGGAGCGTAATACAATGCAGAATGCTGTGCAGCAGGGTTAACTATAGGTTTTGGGGAGATAGAGTTTAACCAAGTACATGAATGTTTTACAAAGGTCTATTTGTGGAACAGGTGGAAGGATTTATTGAGATATTCTCCCTTATCTATTTGTAAAAATCATGTCAGCATTCAGCATGTATTTACTTTATTGTAAAGGTATCAGGTTAAAAGAGTTCTGATTTTCCCCCTCCCATTGTGTACTGCAGCGAGATCCTGAAAAATTCAGAGATGGAAAATGACAAGACTGTTCCCAAAGCAACCGTCAGTATACCTGAAGCCGAACAGCTGATCGCCCCTGGAACGCCTATTCAATTTGATATTGTCCTTCCTGCTACGGAGTTCCTTGATCAGAATAGAGGAAGCAGGTATGGGCTCAGGGAGGTTATCTCTGGGAGAAAGGAAAATAAACTTGACATCTGTGTCCCTATCCACCTCCAAAGATTGTTGCCATTCTGACGAGAGTTCAAGTGTTGAGTCCATGTAGCTGAAGCCGTCATGACTGACTCTGGCTGTTCCCCTAGGCGGATCAACCCTTTTGGTGAAACTGAGGATGACACATTTCCAGAAGCAGAAGGTAAGTGGCTAGTTTGGTGTGTTTATTCTTTCCCCTGCACAGAATGACCAGGTCCATTAAAATAATGTAAGTCATGTTCTAGAGAGCTGTGACTGAAAATATGCGTTGAAATTATGACCCATAGATGTATTGTTCTCTGAAGATTCACTATGACACATGGAGTCAGGGCAGGTCTAAGGAAAAAATCTTGACGGGCAGCTAACAGATTTTCTACAGCTGTTGCTCCATTAGGCACACTTATACCCTTTTTGTAGCTCCAGCATAGAAATGTTGCCAATCCAAATAAGGTATCAAATTACTACAAATTCCAAGAGGATAAAATGGTCACATTAACATGTCGACTGGGTGAGTCATAAATATGCTCTATCATCTTAGAAAATCCAAAGTACAAATAACTCATTCTTGAATTTGAAGATGACATGATTAAGTGGCTTTTGTTAAAATTCAGATTTTTGTATCTGATTTACCTCTGTATAGTTCATAATAACATACTCAGTAGAGTTGACCATAACCTACTACTCCAGGGAGCAGAACTTGAGTTCCTGGCCAGGGCAATATAGAGGATTGAAGTGCTGGCAAGACTTCATTTTAACACAGCTTTGTGACTGAAGCCTGAGAATGTCATTAGAATGAAATGCCACACTTTTAAATTTAGAAGTGGGACTTGGGAACTGGTACTCCTAACAGCTTTAGGCAGAAAACTAACAGCCTCAAAGCTGACTGGTCACTTTACCCCAGTGGCCTCTCATGGAGTCCATGCTGTTTGTGAACAGTCTATAGGGGGCTTTCTAAGAAACACCATCTTCATAATGGAGTAACCATGTGTAACATCAGTTCATTTCCTAATAAATTTTTTGGCCCTTAAGCTATTTGCAGGAGCAGGGATACTGGAGGGCAAGTGAGGGAAAAAGTACGCTTTTTAGTTTAAAATGGTGGGTAAGTGAATTACTGTTCTTACAGAAAAAAAGAGGCCTTTGAACCTTCATGATCTTCCAGTTACAGGTGCTCTAATTCAGTTTTGTCAGCTTATGTGCCATTATCAAGAAGCCAATACTGGCAATTAACTAGAATCAAAGAAGTGAATTATTTTAGTTTGAGATCTCCATTAGTTTATGAAATATCATCACTGCCCTTTAGTAGTAAATAATGTATATGAATTGAATGACACCCAACATCAGATCTTACTTTTTTCCAAATACATCTTCTTCAAGAGAACTCTAATACTGGGCAAAGTAACAAGTTTTCTATTGTCTAGTGGAAAAGCTCTCATTTTCAGAAAAAAGATGCATATACTGCCACCTATCATCTAGAGATTTAGTGCTAGAAAGGTTTTCATCTGGTTACCACCATTTCATTTTATATATGAAGAAAAAGAGGTACTTTTCTAGTCTAATGTAGCTCCAGAGAACAAATATAGACAACAGGAGATCCAGAGCTTTGGCAGCGTGAGGTCTGTAAAAGCATTGTGGAGAAGTTTAGTAGAAAGCCCTCCACAGAAACCAAGCCAAGCCTGGAGTCTTCAGCCTCTTCTCAGACCAGCATATGTGCCACTGGTATGCAGATCAGCAGCAGGAAGTGGATGTCATCTTGAGCAGAAAATGCTTTTTTGCAGATTCCCTTTTACAACAGATGTTTATAGTTCGATTTTTGGGATCAATGGCAGTCAAAACAGACAGTACTACTGAAGTGATCTATGAAGCGATGAGACAAGTACTGGCTGCCCGGGCTATTCACAACATCTTCCGCATGACAGAAACCCATCTGATGGTCACCAGCCAAACTCTGAGGTACACTGTGTCATTTTCAGACTCTCACCGCTACGTCTGATTCTTCTTCTAAGGCACATTTACCCATCTAGAATGTTCTTACAGAATATTTGATTGGATTAAGTGAAGATGATACTCTTATTTCTGTTCTATTCCTTTTTACATCTCAGTTACATAAAATAGATTGAAGATGGTCCCTTAAAGGCAGGAAGTGATAGTATCTCTCAAGAGTTTCTGTCTATACCTCAACCTAAAAATGGAAGGCTTTTTGTATTTCATTTCTGAGGGTAATATTTGTGAAAATAAACAACAGTGAAACCAGAACATGAGCTTCCCTAAGGTCACTAGACCAAGGAAAATCTGATTAATATTTGTTGGGGTGAAAATAAAGAAGCCAAGGAATGTTAACTACAGACTTAGGGTTTCAGGTAATAAGATCCATATAAATGATGGCAAATGACTGTCAAGACATGGTTAGCGAAAGCTTTATTAAGAGTTGCACTATCCAGTACTGTAGCCACATGTAGTATTTGAAATATAACTAGTCTGAATTATGTTTTAAGTGTAAAATACATACCGAATTTCTGGCTCTTATACTACCCCTCAGAATGCAAAACATTTCGATTAACTTTTATATTAATATGTCCAGCTGGCACTATTTTAGATCCCTTAGGTAAAAGTATATTAATTTCACCTGTCACTTTTTAAAATGTGGCTGCTAAAAAAATTTTAATTATGTTTCCCACTGAAATAGCAGCACTGCTGTAGAGCCAAAATATCTAGGTTTATTCCTGGCTGTTACATTTATTAGTTTTATGACCTTGGGCAAGTTTTATGACCTCTGTGCCTCAGTTTCTTAAGCTATAAAATGAACATAACCCTATCCCAAGAAACTGGAACCCATTGCTGGTGGAAACGTAAAAATGGTTCAGCCATTGTGAATGTCAGTTTGGCGGCTCCTCCGTAAGTGAAATGTAGATTTCCACTCCTGGGTAGATACCCAAAAGAACTGAAAGTAAGTGTTCAAATAAAAACTTGTAGACACAAGTGTTCATAATAGTGCTATTGACAGTAGCCAAAAGGTGGGGACAATCTTGATGTCCATCAACAAATGAATAGATAACAAAATATGGTATATACATACAGTAGAATATTACTCAGCCTTAAAGGAATAAAGTATTGGTACCTGCTTCAACGTGGGTGAACCTTGAAAACATTATGCTAGGTGAAAGAAGGCAGACAGACACAAAAAGACAAGTAGTGTATGATCACTTACATGACATACCCAGAACAGGCAAATCCGTAGAGACAGACAGCAGATTAATGGTCACTAAAATCTGAAAGGAAGGAGGAATGTGGAGTGACTGCTTGATGGGTATGGAGTTTCCTTCCGGAGTGGTGAAGATGTTCTGGAACTAAGATAGTGGTAATGGTTATACAACATTGTCAGTGTACTAAGTGTCGATGGTAAATTTTATATTAGGTGTATTTTTACCACAATATACATACATACTTGAAGTAGAATTCCTGTTTTGACACTATTTAGAAATCACACAGAAAATCAGATCTTAAGAGGCAAATCCAGGCTACCTGATTTAGACAGCAAACTTAAAAGTTATTCACAAAATATAATATGCATGTTTTAAGTTTGTATTTGCAGAAAAATTTTACCAAATACCTAATAAAGTTATCTCAAACATTTCACTGCATATAACTGAACCACTGTTGCTACACCTGAAACCAGTATAATATTCTGTATCAACAGTACCTCAATAAAATGTATTCCAACTTGAAATTGTTTATGATGTTTATTTTTAAAATCATTTAATCCATATTCAATAGGGACAAAAATGACATTTAATTAGCTTTGTAATTTACTTAAAATTCCATGTACACTTTCTCAGTACCTTACCATTTCTCTGAAGTGGGTGTTCTTATCCCAGTGTTACAGACAAGGCAGTTGAGAGAAGTCAGGGTGACTTGTACAAGATCACAAAGCAAGTAGCCAGCTCAGAATTCAATCCTGTACCCTGATTATAAATCCCATGCTTTTATTTAGTAAGTGTAACTGCATGTATTTCAAATTGTATAACCATTTTTGAGGGTAACCTCTTATTGAGATATAACTTAATATTCCCCAATGTTGAAGTGGTGTTTTTGATATATTCAGAGTTGGGCAACCATCACCCCAAACAGTTTAGAACATTTTCATCAACTCCCAAAGAAACCCCATGCCCATTAGCAGTCACTCCTTTTGACTCCCAACCAACCCAGCCCTTTTAGCCATTAACTACACAGTAATCTTGCTGTCTTGAGTTCTGGATATTTCATATAAATGGAATTATAACCATTTTTTTTAACAAGGAGAATACAAAATTAAAAAACTAAGACCAAATCAGTAATTTAAATATGTAATACCATGTGTTAGAAATTAGAAATTTATAAGATAGCAATATATTCTCTAATGTAGTTTATTTTCCCAGATGTATCGTGATTAGACAACACTTAAATTGTTACAAAATGTACCCAGAATATCTTCTTAAATGTTACTCCCCTACAGCCAAACTAATGTGGAATAGTTTTAAAATCCATTCACTATTCTCCCATACCCACCCCATTTTTAAAAAAAAATTGTTAAACTTAGAAGAATCAGTTGATCCAACACTTCAAGGGAAATAGGCAATAATCAATAAATGTATGTTGAGAAGGAGGATATACAGAGTATAATCCATCCATATTATACAGCAGAACTAGAGAATCATGTTGCCTTTTTGGATAAGCACTAAATAATATTGTGAAATTAATTTTCTATTTGCTGTAATTGTCCATTAAAAATGCCAAGCTGTAACCACACAGATCGAACCGTGGCGCATGCTCCCGGTGGAGCGCACTCCCCTCGCCCTCAGCCACGTGCTGCATTTTCTTACTTGGAGGGTATTTGTGATTTCATTCTGAACTTCTACAAACTCTTCTAAGAATGGTAAGTGCATCCAGCATTTGCGATATAATGAATCTTTTAAACTTTCAGGTTGATTGATCCTCAGACTCAAGTGACAAGGGCCAATGTAAGTATCCTCAGGCACGCTAATTTTAGTGATCACTCTTTTAATCGTAGCTCCCTTGACACAAAGAAGTCACTTCATAACTTTGTTTGCCAAATTAAATGACTGCCACTATTAGTGCACTTTTTTCATGACCTTTTCCACAGAGAATGACCTTGTCTGTCTTTTAATATCAGTGTGTTGTGTAATATTTGGGTTATTCCTGTTTTTCTAGTTTGAACTTGCCAGTGTCACCCAGTTCGCTGCTCATCAAGATAACAAGAGACTAGTTGGCTTTGTGGTCCGCATGCCTGAGTCCGTAGGTGGAGAATCTCTGAGCACATACATTTTTGAAAGCAACTCAGAAGGCGAAAAGGTCTTAACTTTTTTCATCTTAAAATTCCACAGTATCTCAGTCCAAAGATATTTAAGGGTTTTTTTGGTACCATCTCCCTGGAAATTTAGCTGACTATTCTGCATGTCCCCACTGAAATATTTAGAAATGAATACCTTTATGGGGGCCCCCCACTGAAAGAAAACGAGTAAAATTTCCTTAAGTAAAGTATGTATCAACCAAAATAAAGGAGTACTTTAATGTGGAGATAAATTTGTTTAGTAGAGAGATCATGAAACATTGAAAGCAGTTCCCCCCACAATTTTTTTAAATTAAAGCAAAATTTATTATTTACATTTAGTCTCAAGAGAGCAAACCAAGGAAGCAGACATCAGAAAAGTATACCTAGTCTTGTTTAGTATGAAAAACTTTGTGACTGCATTTGATACTTAATCAAAAGTAGTCCTCTGAGCAATTACCTATTTGCCACTGCATGTTTGAACAGGCAGTCGCTAAATACAGTTGAGAAGTTGAGAGAGGAAAACGTACCCCATTAAGAATTGTAAACCCTGGTCACTCCAGCTTTCACTTACCTGTTTGTTTGTTTTTACGCACAAATTGGCCACAGGAAACCAGGACATGTGGTGCTACTATGCAGAGCCCAGTGTGATGGGTCTCCTACACCCATGCTGACTTGAGCAGTGTCCTCCCTCATCGTCCTTCCATAATCACATTTTGTTCTACAATTCTTTATCCTTTTCCACCTTTGCCAAACACTATTTTTCTCATCTTTTGCAGATATGTTATGCTATTAATTTGGGAAAAGAAATCATTGAGGTTCAGAAGGTAAGGTACATTTTAGTGCTGGTTTAAAAACTATTCAAAGGTATCTATATACATACTAAGATTTCTCAAAAAGAGAGATGCTCACTTTGCAGGTGGCCAGGTTTGGGATTTCCTTTTAATAAGCAGTTTAACCACCAGCCTTTTTTTTGATTAGCAAGTTCCATTATCACTGTTACTACAGGTGGACTTCTTAATAGCACTTCACCTCAAGCTTTATGAATTTTTTGCTTGCTTCTATTGTGGCTAGATCTCCTTTCTTTCACACTAATATGGTACAGACTTAAGTATCCACCATGTGCTCTAAGCCCTTACTCCACTCCTTAGAGTGGTCACAGGCCCAGCAGCAGTTACAAAGATCACTTGGAAACTTACTGGAATGAAGATTCTCAGACCTCCCTTGCAGCAGTTTACAATGTTTCATTCACCTGACAAATTTTTGAGAGCCAAGTTTGTATAAAAAAACTCTGAATTACAGCAGTGAGTGAAATAGACTTGGTTTAGATACAAACCCAGGGGGCTTCTAGTTTAGCACTGTCCAGTAGGACTGCCTGCAGTGGAAATTACCTGTATCTGCACTGTTTAAGATGCAGATCAAATGTGGCCAGTGTGACTAAGTGGCTTTTAAAATCTCATTTAAATTTAAATTTAGATAGTAACATGTAGCTGGTGGGTACCATATTAGTGTAGTTCTGGTCAGGGAGGGCAGGAGGACCAAGGACTGAGACCAAGTATGAGAAATAGTGAGCACTGGAAGTTAGTATTTTATGGCCTAAATCATGTAAAGAGCCACACAGTAAACCTGTTATTTAGGCGTACCATGTCTGTTGGAGCTACACAACTCTGCTGTTGAAACACACGAGCAGCTATAGGTACTATGTAAATGAATGGACATGGCTGTGTTCCAGTGAAACTTACTGACAGAAACAAATGGTGAGCCAAATGGCTATAGCTTGCCAACTTTTGGTAGATTAAAAGAGAAAAGGAGGGAGCTTAAAGACAGAAGACAAAGGTATTGTGAAGGAAGTTCCTCTGGACTCTTTTTGGGAAGATGATTATGATTTGGCTAATACAAAACAGTATGTTAGCTAAGAGGAAGACCTTGGCCTAGATTCTAGAAGTAGCGCAGTTGAGTTTTTTCAGAGAAGCAAGGAGAGACCCACCTGAAGGCACACACAGACAGGACTCAGAAGGAATGAGACTAGATTACAGAACATACTGAAAGCCAAGCCAAAGGGGTTTTAAGTACATTTTAAGTATGCTCTTTTCTCCTTCTTAAACTCCCATAACTTCAGGATCCAGAAGCACTGGCTCAATTAATGCAGTCAATACCACTAACCAATGATGGAAAATATATACTACTAAACGATCAACCAGATGACAGTGATGGAAGTCCAAGTGAAAACAGAAGCGCAGAATCTGAAGCATAACTGTTGGGCCTTTGGGGGAAGAGCACCCAGGAAGGAGAGCTATCTTCTTAAGGGTTTTCAACTTCTCTGATGTACAGACACACAGCCTGAGTTCAGAATGCTGACAATCGCTTGTGAAATGTACTCTTGATTCCTTGATACTGAGACTTGGGAGGGAAACAGTAAGAAATGGTTGACAACATTCCTATCCATCTACAAATGTTATTTTAGGTGCTTTGTGATAAGTCCTTTTTTTTAGATTGCAATGTTCAGTGCTCGGGATGAAAGTAAATGAAAAAATGCATTGTTCACTTTATTTCAGTGTCATCTCTTTTCAGTTTCCGGTATACTTTTCTAAAAATGGCAAACAAGCCTAGATTTAACTTGATAAACACGAAGTATTTCCTATTAATATAATCTATTTTTGTATTTTACTTAATAAGCTTTAAGTGCCTGTCATTCTGAAAATTGTGTATTTATAATCAAGCTTGCCTCCTAATTGGACCTAATAAGCATTAGTTTGTGCATTCAGGTGATGAGCCCTGCTTTGAGGCCCAAGCACTAGCAGAAATGCAGGTCTAGTTTTGGTAACTGTCCGAGACATCATGCAGTAAAGACTAGTAGATGAGCACCACAAAGGGTGTTTGATTTTACACTGGCACCTTAGTGAGCCAGCATTCAGAGGTGGATGGTCCTTTAGACACTAGTGTTCTTAGGAGTGGATCACTACGGACAGGGTGCAGTTCTACCAGTTCCTGTTTCTTCTGAGCCAGACCCTCCTCAAAGAAGGGATCAGTTCATTTTAAAACTCACTTGAAGCACAGCTGGTCATGGGACTTGGTATAAACTTCCAAATTCCACCCTGACACATCTGGTTCCTGGCATCCCAGCCCACTCTGCCATACCATCATGAAATAAGTATAATCACCTTGAACTGGTATAGTGTATTTAATTATAACCAAGTTCAATGGAATATCACTGTCTTTGTAATAAATTAACCTAGCAATAAATGCTAGCATATAAAAACTATCATTCTGTTTCTTTTGCTTTTTTGTGGTTATTTTCTAGAACATCCTGCAAGAAAACTAAAGTCAATTCTGTAGCTTTAATGGTAATTTCCAAAAAACCAGGGCATAATGCAATCATAGCTGAAGGGAATATACTATCAAAAAACCACTATTGAGTGCAATAATGTAGTCTCAATGCCAAGTTTTTAAAAGGTGTTACTTTTTAAATGGTGGATTAATAAAACAACTTTTGCAGCCCACAATTAGTTTAATGTTACAGGGTCCAGCTGAGGAATCCAGTTCTATAATGTGTGTACCACCAGGGACACAGTGAGCTGGTCTAAGCTAGTATGAGATTATATACCACAAATTAGTTCATTGTTAACTAATGCCTTGGGCAAATTTGTATAGCATAGCCAAATCAGATAAGTAAGTTATCTGACAGGCTTTAAGAGTCACAGTCCCTGAATTTCTTTTTCTTGCTTAGAATTGTTCAAGATGATAGGAGGGGTACAATCTCAAATCACAAACAATATTGCTAGAAACTAAAAAGTTTTTTAAATTAAAAAAAAGTTTTATTAAGAATATGGCTTAACTAAGCCACAAAGCATGCTAATTATAAGAAAAACAAGACTCAAGTCCAATACATTAACACTAACCTCATCTAAAACACATCAAATAAAGAATGAAAATACAAAATTAACTGAGCATATTAGCAAGTATACATGACCAACAAAAAATCAGTATCCTGGATATATAAAATATTCCTACAATAAGTAAGATAAATTGGAAAAAAACGTCATGAATAATTTCATAGAATTAAAAAAAGCTCTTAAACAGAAATATGTTCAATCTCACGTAACAGTCAAGGAAATGCAAATCAAAGCGTCACTGCAATATTATATATTTACCAGACTGCAGACTTCAGCTGTTGGTAGGGATGAGAATGGGGACTCTCATTAGGCATCTACTAGTATGTCACTTTATGCCTGAGGCAATGAAGCACAGAGTTCAGTGACCCTGCAGGTAAGCAGCAAATCAGGATTCAAGTCACAGCTCCAGAGTCTGCTTCTGACCGGTAGGTTAAAAAACCAGAGAACAAGGGGATCTTAACCTATGTGGTATCTACCCAAGTATTCCATTTTTAATCTCTAAATAATACATATATATTATATAGACTTTTGCATGTGTCATATTTTAAATAATTTTTAAATTTAGAAAGTGAAAACCACTAACACTTGGGAGAAAACCAGACAGAAAGCAATCTCCAAATGGTGCTCCTAACATATTACCCTTTGAAGATTATTCTGAAACTCAGTAATTACATCAAAGTGCATCTTTAATGCCTTGTTACTTAAGATTCTGAAATAAGTATTAATGTGATAAGATCCTCATGGGTATAAAAGCATTAACTTGTGATAATGAAGACATTACTAACTACATCACTATATACCACACACAGACCTTACTATATACATTGATAGAATGTATAGTCCTCAAAGATGATCCCAGAATTATGACATCAGAGCTACACTGATCAGAAGATAAATTTCATCTACTTTCCTGAGTGGGAACAACTGGAGCTACCATGTAAACTAGGTGATAAAGAACAGTCAGACTAACACAGTAGTAGTATACTTGTCCCAGTCCGCTTTTTATACTCCATATATAAGAAGTTTTTACATAAACTACACTCTAATTTTACCATCTGAGTTCATCTGTATAGTCCCCTGATTTCATTTAATCTCTATAGATCTCTAATTCCTTTTGTTTTTTAAATGAAATCTTTGATAACCTGTTAAAATTTTTCTTAACATCTAAAAAACTTTGTTTAAAAAAAACTGTAGCATTAAAACCTCCTTAAGAAAAGGACACGATCAATTAGAAACTTCTAAGCTTTAGCTGGAAAAAAACTAAAATTACTAAAATTGGTTAAAATCTCCCTTTTACATTTAACCAGCTCAGCGTAAGAGAGTACCATGATGACATGTATGATGGTACTTTCTCATCTTTCCCACAATCCTACAAATTTACCACCTCAAAAGAAGCAATCTGACTTGACCAAGAACACTTTCTCCAGTATATAAAGGACTCGGGTTTCTCGTCTCCAGTGTGGTATTTAAAAGACTCTCATTTGTTATTGTCTCAGTTCAACTCACATTTGCAAAAGGCACCCCAGTTATTTCTAACATTAAACACTGAAAATTAATATTCCTTCCCAATACTAGGTAAAATTAAACATTCATGTGGGGTCTTTTTATTAGGAAATAGCAAGAACAGAAAGATCAGTAATGTACAAAGGAAAGAAAACGTCACCTGGGATACAAGAAGAGACAATACCAATTTTATACTTGAAATTTTTTGCCTATGTGCATGCAAGCATTTTTTTAAAGACAGATTCCATATATTAGGTTAAAGAAGACTCCAAAAGTGTAATGTTAAGAATAACTGGTTTAAGACATTTGGTTTTGAACATAAACATCCAGGGGAAGTAAAGTTTTGAAATTTTATTTATTAATGTTTTATTATACATGTTGTATTCTCTTAGAATTGGAGGGAGAAGCCCCACTCAAGTGAGGTAATGAACTTGCCATCCTTTACAAAATTTAATTAGAATTGACAATCTTATGCTTACTCTTTAATTCCTGAGAATCTGAACATTAAGTTGTCTGTGAATACAAATGTTCACACTAATTTAAAATTACAGTATGTCTGAAAAATGAAAATATTAACATTGCAATGTTAGCAAGGAAAACCATCATCCAAATGTGTATATTAACGTAGGTGTATAAACACTTAAGCTCTGTTGCTCTGTACTTTAACAGTATTTAACTATGTTTAATCCTTTCAGAGATTATTTCAAATATATATACCTTATCCAGGCTGCACTGACATTTATTATTTTGAATTAGAGGCAAAATAATAATCTTTCGCTTTCTTCTCAACTATTGATATTTGTGTAGTCAGCATGTGACCTTTAATATTAGTAAGATAATTGACATATGTGGGGATAATGAACAGAGACATCTGATTCTCTTCTAATTACAGTTTCTATCCCTATTAAAGGAGATAATTTTAGGAAAGAGAACAAAAACAGGAAAAACAATACTGTTGCTATAAAATAGTGACAAATTTGATACTATTAAATCCCAGGTCATTAATATAAACATTTACAATAATGAAAATATAAATTACTAATTATGCAGCATGCTTTAGGGCCATTTCTACAGTTAGTATGAATTACAAATATTAAATGCTTTTAATCCATCCATTGTACATAATTATGTAAGTCATGTTTACAGAATAAACAAAAAATATTTCCTACCTATTCTGTTTCTCCTGACTTAACAGTGAACAGTGTGTGTGTCTTGGGCTGGGAAAGTCACCCTGACCGTAACCACCGAATACAGACAAGGCATTCACTGTACACCCATTCCAAACGCTGGAAATCAAACACAGATAGTTACTTGCAGAGTTTACCCAAAGAAATTCTTAATGGGTAAGTGCAATGGACAAAGGATTTCCCAAAATGATGTTGGTATCCCATGTAAAGCTCTGAACTTTCTTGTCATTGTAAAGGGAGCACTGGGATATTAAGGGACATTAAAAGATTATAGGCTATGATTAACCATTTCCCTATTAACTGACATGATCTTTACTACAAAAATAAAGGTAGTAGCTTCCTGAACTAAATGTACTCAGCTTTCCGTACTTTTAAATCAGTAAATGATTTATTAGAATTTTATTCTCACAGTGCTAATTTTTTAAAAGCCTGCACAGTGCTTAATTGAACATCTTAGATTACACCTGGTTTAAAGAAAAAGTCTGCCCAAATTATCATCAAGATTTCAATTCAACCTAATGTAAAAGAAACCTGAGTTTGGATGTAGACATAAGAATTCATTTAATTTTCTCTGATATACACAGTGCCTGCAACCAAAAGTGAAGCTTCAAGCAGTACTCTATGGCTTTATCTGAATTTTCTTTCATCTTGAGTGTTAAGTAAATCTTACACTTCAAGCAGTTGTTGGAGGTTAAACGTTCTCAAAGCAATGTAAACTAGTTATAAAGTATTTCCAAAGACAACAGTAGATCTTGAGTCATGTGAAATTAACAATGAGTCGGTTGATACATAAAGGGCTCATAACACTTGTGCCTCCCCTCTAGTATCAAAACCACCTTCATAGTTCCTTTTATAAGAATATTGATACATAACACTTCATGAATTTCCGGCTCAATTCTTTCATTTAAACATATTTACTGGCTGTACACAGTATATGCATTTCATTTCTAATTACTGAGACAAATAAGGGTCAAAGACCTAAGCATATACAAATTCTAAACATTCGTGTCAATTATAAGAGATACGAGATGGCAAGTTAGAAATTTGGACGGCCCTTCTACAACCTCACTTCTCATAACTGTTCCTAGGCACATCTTCTAACCTACAAGTCCAGGCAAAACTCTAATTTTAAAGTCTCATTCTCAACCTTTGAAAAGTAGAAGAATGTTCTTCAGAGCACTGCCTTAGAGTTGCAACATCTAAACATCTCCCAGAGATGTAGGCCAGGAAACATTTCATCATTAGTGTGTAACATCCATTTCACTGGCAACAGTACCAACTCAGTGCTGAAGACTTTAGGGGCATGCATACCATCAGTATCATTTGACAACGGGATCTGCAGACACAGTGCTGTCGGACAGGTCTCCAATGCTTGCTTTAGTTTCTTCTGGAAACATGAGTAAAAATAACAATGGACATAATTTATGTTCATTTAAAAAAATGAGAAGAGCTGTACTGTTAAATTTCAAATTTTAAGAAAATGAAGCATCTACCAAATATTTCTCTAATACCACAAATTATATCTAGTTTATTTACCTTAATTTTTTAGAAACCTAAGCTAAACATTGCAAAAGTAATGTTTGATTAGTTCTTAATGGGAATGTAGAATTGTGTCGGAAGCACAGTTGGCCTGGGGTTTCACACCACATGTCTGAAGGCATGCTCTCCCTAGGCCAGTTCCCCAAGTCGGGCCAAGAAAAATTACACTGCTGCTACCAACAGAAACACAGCTACTAATTCACATATAAAATTGACCATAATGAATAACTTTCCATTTGTACTGATTACTAAGTTTTAAAAGCAACTTTTTATTATGACTGTGATAAAACAAACTCCCGGCTTTCTGTGCAAACTCAAATGCACATATTTCATGAACAGAGAAAAACCATCTGACTAATGTATCCACCAATTCTGAATACATCTCTGAGCAACAGTTAACTAAAACAGGGTCCTAAAACAACCACCACCCAGGCATGTGGGTAACAAATCAACCAGTTCCACTGAGACTTAAAGGTTTGTTTTATCTTAATGTTTTAGACCCAGTCCATAAGCACAGTATTCCCAGTCACCAGAGCTGAAAACAAGGCTCTGGCATGAAATGTCTGAGCAGAACCTAAGCAATAATTGATTTTCTTCACAAGTTAGATTATACTGACTTAAACTCTTACAAATGGCTTTGCTAATAAGTATTATCTTAGCCTTGAAAATGAACACTACCTGATAAGTACATATTTTCACTAATAAATAGTATCATATAGGTAACAAACTGAAATCATTTCAAGCACACAATTATCCATCTAGATTCCAAAAATGCCTGCATATGGTCCTAACTAATAAGCATTATTCAATTTATGCAACATTATCAGAGAATAAGGTAGCTGATATAAGTGATCTACCCAAATATCAACTCTATTCAGGATTAAAAAAACATGTATTTTAAAATTTAATTGACAAAAAGGTAAAATTAATACAAACATCTGCTTTTATGAAATATGAACTTCATGTCTTAATTTGCGAAATACAAATAAGAGAAAAGGAAAAAGCAAACATGAAAACTGTCAACTCAATTGCAGTACCTAGTTTTGAACTTCCAAACAAAGAAAACCTGTTACATATTTTCCATAATAGGAAAAAGGAGCCATCCATTCCTCAGGAAAAGAACACTGTTCCTAAATTTCAAATCTGAGAGAAATGTATCATGGAGGCCTTTATGTATGAAACACTGACCATCCTAAATAGAAGACAATGGACAGAATCTTTTCCTTAATGACTCAAGTTCACTGACGTGACTTAGTTACCAAGGCTCCAGTACACTGATTCTCCAAGGCCTGGGTATGGAGCAGAGCAGGGGGCTGGGCACTGTGTCACCAAAGAGCCCCTCCTGTCTTACCCCTCCTGCACCACCTGTCCCATCTCAACCAGCACCTGTGCCTTTAGCAACACTCAGTGCTCCTCCTGTAACCTGTTCCTTCCTACTCATAATAAGTTGAATGGTAAAAGAAAAAATAAAGTTGTTAAATTTTAAATTAAGAGAAGTTTAAACTGAATAGTTACCCTAGAATGAAATGCATAAACTATGTAAACTTTCAATTTCACAAATGATCCAAATAGGTTTTACTAAAAAGTCATTTCTAGGTCTGTATAATTTTTCAAAAGGAAAAGGAAGGTGGCATTCTGACTAGATAAAATGGGGCATTAGTGTCACTATTAAAGAAAGATATGTTGGTCTTTCAAATTTAAGCCACTCACTGACCTTCTTTCTCTTTCTTTTCTTGGTTTTCTTCAGCTGCAGTCTTGTCAGCTCTGAAGAAAATTCTTGCACTGCTCAGTGAGAAGTAGAGCAATTCAAATTCCTAATAAAAATGTTTGAAATAAAATACTTGTTACAGAAAAATATCAAAATTATCACATTTAATGTCTCATTATTTCTAAAAATATCTACCAGAAATCATAAATACATAAACTGAATTTAGTCATCTACCCATCTTTTAGATCTAAGTTAAATGACTCACAAATATCATTCATCTAAAAATACATTCTTATTACCACTATTCAACTCATAAAATGAGGGTTTCCATATGACTAGTTTTTTCAGACACCAAGAAGTAATGGATATCAAAGTGTCAAAGCAGATTTGACTATTACTGCCCTCTACCTGTAGATAGACATCCAGTCGCTTCTGAGTGAGATTCATGGTTTGTAGTAGTTTTTCATCTTGACTAGTTGATTGCACATTCTGTTGCCTAGCAACTGCTCTCATCTCTTTCAGGTATTTCTCTCTAACAGACTGGAACCAATGAAGTGAGTCAAATTCCTGGTATTGGTCCAAAAGCTTTAGAATGTAAGCCACACCTGCAGTCATTAGCAAAACCAAAGCCACATTACAGTGAGTACAGAAGTTCTATTCCAATCCACGAGTAACTTCTATGATTAAACTAACCATTTTGAATGAATCCTCTTTCAAACTACATTTTACAGCCTAAGTAAGTTTAGCAAAAGGCTTAATTACTCCTTAAAAAAAAAATATATATATATAAAGACCTAAAGTCAAGCCAGTAGAGAAGAAAAGAGAATAACATGAAAAATTCTATGGAATTTCTATGAAAAATCACATGGAAATAACATATGGCTGTGAGAGTAGGAAAAACTTCACTGCTAAATAGACAGCAACTGAGGAAGCTACAGGGGAACTAAATTCAAAATGCTAAAACTAAAACTACAACACAAAGCCTAAATATTAGGCCCAATGAGACTAAGGGATTAGCAAAACCAAGGGGGCATAAATGATCATTCTCATGATGGAAAATAGGTATTGTCAATCAGATAACCAGCTAAAAAATAAATAGTAACACTGCTTGTGAAAAACAAATCTACAAAGAGCACATGGACCTATCCTCAAGGAAATGTTTCTGAAAATCCATAAGGTAAACATAAAATAATGGGAAAATAATTCCATTAATCTTACCCATGGCAAAGCCATCATCAGTAAAGGCAGCTCCAATTTTATTTTTTTTATTCAATTTCTCCTTGCAACTAATGGAATGCTCTACAAAATTGAGGGTCTAAAAAGATGTAACAACATATTAGGAAAACCACTGGAATAAAAAATCTTCAGAATTTAGTTTTTAAGCATTTCAAAAATTATAAATAGAATTTCTTCTAGGTTCCTGTCCTTTTATTTTGAAACATTTGACTCATATCAATAAGCCTCTTGGTGAGTCGCAATCTGCAGAAGTATCTCTTAGTGGATCTTCTTATCACGTCCTTTAAATACAAGCACTCCCTCTATCACTATTCCACCCAAGCACAGTGCCTTGTATACAGTTCATTATAAAACATTACAAAATTTTAATTTTATGATGAGCATGCTGAAGCTAGAGTGGTTTAGTAACTTGTCCAAATTGAGATAAGTGAAAGTTGGGAGTCCGAAAAGTAAACCTGCTTTTCCTCAAAGCTTAAACACTGGCAGTCCTTCCTTCTGCCCACCCAACTATTTTAAAACACCATTTTTTATGTTCTTGGTTAAAAAGGATTCATAGTCATTTGGATAAATGAATTCCCCAAAAAAGCACTTCCCTAAAACTTCAGCTCCTCCAGAATACCTTACCTAATCACATCATTTCTCAACAAAGAGTTACTGGAGCTTACTACATACCAGGCATTATTAAGTAATTACAATACAAAAATGAACAGCATCAAAGAGCTCGCACCGTAGAGCAGCTCTCTTGGTAATGACAGATGGTGGAGATACATGCGACTCTAGCACAGGAAGCCACTAGCCACATGTGGCCACTGAGCACTTGAAATGTGATTAGTAAAACTGAAGAACTGGGTTTTTTAAATAAAACTTTAATTAAACTTAAGTAGCACTTGTGGCTACATATGGACAGCACAGATCTGGAAGAGTAAAGAGAGATGTTTAAAAAAAATTCCTGTAATAAGTACAGTAACAGCCTACATTGGAAACAAAGTATCAAGTGTCACCTTTTTTGCCTGTAAAACTAATTGGCAATTAATCACATACTTGTGAAATCTTTATCAATTGTTATTTAAATCTTTTTTAGATATCTTACTTATGTTTGTCTTTTTTCCAGAAATTAGAGTAAATGTAGGCACAAGAACAGTGTCCTATACTTCTTAACAGTGCTCTTAATCCATCTTTTTCTCCATTACTAACTGAATTCCAATAGCTGCTGTGGGTAAAATTGTAGTATTTCCAGAATATCTCGCCTGGCTTTGGTGCATTTGAATATCCCTAGGGGTGGAGAGAAGTTCCTCTCCATGTCAGTGGGTAATTACCTGGGCAACCAAGGGCCTGTCTGAACCTAAGAGGTTAAGGGGAGGGGCCTGCTTGCTTGCTTCTTCCAGAGCAGGGGAGAGAGACTGCACTGAACTGCAGTTTGTAAACAATAAACTGGTTTCAAACTTGATTTCTCCCTTTAACTGATTTCGGTTTTTAGAGGTATTTTGCCTCGGAATTTCCTCTTCCCAGACTTACAGCTACCCAGCAAAATTCCACTCTTCCTCCAACTCATAAATGATTCCCCAATGCTATGTACTAGGCTTGAGTGCACTGCACCCTTCAAACTAAAGAAATATGGTTGAGAATTCACACTAAGTTAACTATACTGTCACCCATGTATGACTAAGACTCACCTCCCATTTGACAGAATCTTAAGATGAAAATAATGCTTACCAGATGAATATAGACATTTTTGCCACATCCTACTTAAGACATAATAGTGACATAGCATTAACAATAAATGGATAAAATAACAGTAAAGAAAATTTACGGAGAAAAAAGTCCACAAATCATCAGCTACTTTCAATGGACAATAATGATTTTAATGTGTAAAAAGCTAAGTGTTAACAATTCAGGCAGCAATATGAATTAGATGTAATCAAAAGCAACATCTGCTCAGTGATACTTAGATATTAGAACCATCCATTCACAAATTTTTAAAAGAACCTTTAGGAAAAATAAGTCGTTGCTAGTATATACCTCTAATCTCTTTACTCCATTTTCCCAGCTATAGTTGTTTTTATAATGTGATTTTGGGTAACTTGAGCTGTGTTTAGATGGCAACTATAGAATTAGAGCAGAACATACTATATACTATAATGAGGAAGCACTAAAAATTTACTCTAGATATTAGTATTTACTACTGAATAGAGAAAGTTGTTCTCAAACAGTATGCTTTTAAGAGATGTTTTAGAAATAACTTCATACTGTTAACAATTAAAGTTAGTCTACATTAATCACTTAAAAAGATTATATGGTATAATTCAACCCAAAGATTATATAGTATATTTGTAATGGTATACACTCAATTTAAATCACACTAGGATTTCTCTGGCAGTTATTAACAAATAAGAATTTATCGTAACTGTAAGTTTCATTCTGCATAGCTAATAAGCAAAAATTCTAGGCCACATTCACTGAGATCACATTTAGCTTTATGTATAACCAGAAAGTCAGTAATATAGCCTGTGTACATTTTCAGCTGCAAAGAAACTGGATTTGATACTTTTAAAACTTCATTTTGAGTACTAAATACTCACTCACCAGAGGGGGAACGATGATATAGAAATTTCGGAGATGTATATTCTTTGGCCTTCGAAATTCTGGAGCAAAAACATCTACAAGCATTTTGAAATACTCTGTGCCTTCAGCAGAATTTCGTGTGTGATCACTGAGGACTGAATCCAAATGCCTAAAAAGCAAAAAATTATTTACTTGGTTCCTTTCTCAAAAGGTGGAGTGGCTTTTTAAATCATCTCTCATCAGTTTAGATGAGAGCATTCAAAAGTTCAAAACACTGTAAGACATCTCTAAGTAAGATCTGGAGTTCAGAATGAGCTCATTTTCTTATCTACAGAAACTGATCCATAGTGCTCAATTAACTTAATCCCTAAAAGAGTATACCGAGCATCCTGGAACTAAAAGAATAGTTTTGTTATTTCTTCTTCCCACAATGCACCCTGAAGAAACCATTTCATTGTAACTAAATTCCTCCATCTGAACTTCTTCCCTAACACTACTATAACAATGTATACATTACCTCAACTGAAAACTGGTCTTTTTCAAGAACTTGGCTTCTCATTCAACCTTCAGAAACAGTTGTTTTTTCTCCTGCTTCCCTCATGTATAGCTACTGCAACTTTCAAATTATTACTCCCCTACCGCTAGATGGTAGAAATCTCTTTGAGATTCACATGACCCAGCTATATCCAACTACCCAATTACTCGCCCCTGAATGCAGGTATCCACTGACCTTTTAAACCACTGCCCTACATTTATCTATCTCAGACTATGATACCTGCTCCAGTTCTCCTCCATTATTCTGGAAGATTTCACTGTCCATTTAGATAATCAATTCATTGTCATAATCCTACAACTCCTTGACTTCCCCTGCCATGAACTTTCCCTCACTTGATGTGATGTCAGTCTTCCATTCTCTTGCACAAATCTGGACCTTGCAATTAGCAGAGACAGCTTTACCCTAGAGATCTTAAAAGACGACATTCTACTCTCTGACCTTGAACTGCTTCAAAATGTTTTTTAAAGGTCATTAATTTTCAAATGAATGATATGCTTTAACAGGTAAAAATCTGGTTTTCTTCTTTGATATAAAGGCCATGAACTACTTTAATCATTTAAGGGCACATAACTTCAAACAGCTTATTAACTGCCTTCTTATTTTATGGCTTCTTTAACTTGGCAAAGAACCAAACTAACAGGATATTTCAGAGCAAATCTGTGTTGGGGCCTTATTCTCATAAAAATACACACACACTGTCCAGTGTATTTTCTCTTTTCATTAAAAAAATTTCAAGCCTATCAGAAAATTAAAATATAGCATAATGAACACCTATATACCCTTCAACTAGATTCACCTTTTTGTTTTTTTCCCTTAAAAGAGCCCACATGTTGCAGACCTCATGTCAATTAGCCCACATATACTTTAGTATGAATCTGTTAAGAACCAGGACATTCTCCTATAAAACCACAAAACTTTATATCCAAAAATAAAATAGTATTATCTAATATAAAATATATGTTCAAATTTCTACACTTATCCCCTAAATGTCCTTTACAGCTATGTTTTTCCTTATCTAGAATATGACTAAGGATCACCCATTGCATTTGGCTTTCAGGTCTCCTTAGTCTCCTTAATCTAAGTCTCCTTGCCTTTTTTGTCTTTCTGTGACAGTTGACATTTTTTAACAGTCTAGGCCAGGTGTTTCATGGGATGCCCCACATTCTCAGATGGTCTCGTAAAAATAAATTCAGAGAAAATATTTCTGGCAAGAATACAACATAGGCACTTGCCATTACATTGCATCAGGAGGCCACATAACGTCAGTGTGTTCTGTTACTGGTCTAATCACTTCGTTAAGGAAGAATACATCAATCTCTCCATTGTAAAGATAGCTTCCCCTTGGTGATTAATATGCAATTTATAGATTTTTGATAGTGAATATATAGTTGGTTCTCATAAAATGTTTAAGAATCCACTGATGATCTTTATCTGATTTCTAGTATTACAGGAGTAGCTGCAAAATAGTGATTTTTTTTTCCCTTAAATTTCCTCATCCCTCCTATATTATTAGCTGGCATTCTTCTGTAAAAAGGAACTTTACCTCTGTTCTTCCAACCTTTATTATCATTATGACTTACGGTTTCTTTTTTTATTCAGTGTCTTCAATTTCTACCATTATTTTTTTAATATTCAAATTGCCTCCACTTTGCCCAGAGATGCCCCTTCATGACTGAGTCAATCAGCTTATAGTTACTATTAAAACTTAGTTTTCTAAAAAATTTAACAATTTTTCATGCCTCTCAAGTTTTAAATTATGTTCCAAAATCACTACTTACTCAAGTCTGTAAGTCTGCACTGTCCCATAAGATAGGCATAAGCTATTTAAATTTACATGAAATAAATTTTAAATTCAGTTCCTCTATCCCATTTGCCTTATTTCAAGTGCTCAACAGATACGTATGCTAGGATTGCTGCTCTGGATTTCACAAAATGAAGGACTGGTATTCTAGAACAGCGCTGGCAAATAAAACTTAAAAAACAGACAGGTAATGAGCTATTTTGCTATTTTTATGCTAAATCCTCAAAATTAGTTATGTACTTTATGCATTAGCACATTTCAATTTGAACTAGTCACATTTCAGGTCCTCAATAGCCACATGTGACTAGTGGCTAATATATTTGCATGTTCTAAAAGATCCTTTTGCACATGTTCTAAAAGATCCTTTTGGAAAGATGTCAGAATACTGTAGTTTTTTTTTATGAAGAATACTGTAGTTTTTTAAAAAGTATTTTATAAACTGACACCATAGCTTGTATAATAAAAACACTGACATACAGATTCATATAATACCCTGTAGTCTTCTCTTTAGCGTTTTTTTATAAGCATATACTTTTTAAATCTCCAAATTCAGGTTATTCTAAAATTAGATTACCTCGCTGCTTTTAATGTTTCTTCTGCAAGACCCTCTTCTTTTACTAGTTCTTCAAAATTTACAATATCTTCAAGATCAGGCACAAATCTAAAGAATTTGGGAAAAAATTTAGTAAGGCAAGTTAAATATGTGCAATTGACACAAATATAAACATGGTACTTATATGACTCTTAAGTTTTCCAACTATATATTTGGAAAGAACTTTGCATTCTAGGTATATTATATATTAATATCACCACTTGAGTTCCAAAATTGAATTTTAGATATAATCAAATATTAAGCCTTATAATTATGTAATCTTGAGAACCATTCACCAACTGTACTGTCAAATTATATTTTTAAGAGAAATATTTTCAAAGGCCTAGTGTAGTTTTACTGTTAATGGGAATGTAACTGGTGCAGCTATTATGGAAAGCAATATGGAGCTCTTTCAAAACACTAAAAATAGAAATACCCTATGACCCAGTAATTCCACTTGTGAGAATTTACCCAAAGAAGACAAAAATCACTAAGTCGAAAAAATACAGGCACTCCTATGCTTACTGCAGCATTATTTATAATAGCCAAGATATGGAAGCAACCTAAGCATCCACTGATAAATGAATGGTTAAAGATGTGGTACGTATACACAATGGAATATTAATCAGCCACAAAAAATAATAAAATCTTGCCATTTGCAACAACATGGATTGGACTTAGAGGGTATTGTGCTAAGTGAAATGACTCAGATGGAGAATGACAAATACCACATTGCACTTACATGTGGAAGCTAAAAAACAAAACAAATTAACAAGCAAAACAGACATGAACTCATAAACACAGAGAATGGACTGTTTGCCCTGTCAGAGAAGAAGGTTTCGGGGATGGGCTAAATAGGTGAAGAGGATAAAGAAGTACAAACTTCCAATTATAAAATAAATCAGTCACAGGGGTAGAAGTACAGCATAGGGAATATAGTCAATAATACTGTAATTTCTTGTATGTTGAGAGTTACTACACTTACCATGGTGAGCATTTAAGTAATGTATATAATTGTCAAATCCCTATGTTGTACATTTAAAACCATATAATATTGTATATCACCTATATTTCACCTAAAAGAGGTATGCAATAGTCTAAAAATTTGAGAAAATTTTAAGTAGAATTGAGTTTTCTTCCACATTTTATCTCAAAATGTATCAACAAGAAAAGAAACCTCTATATTACTGACAAAGATAGATTTAAGTAACAAAAATTTTTAGTGCCATAAACAAGGCAAAAATGATGTTTGCATCCATACCTAATGGCATTGCTGCTACAATGAAGGCCACCAGATCTTACCATTCGTACATAACCCATAGCATTACCTAAAAAACCACACAAAAAAAGATATTTACACAAATAACTCAGAACTCTAATAATCAGGAATACTGTTATATACCAAGTGAATTATAAGTTCTCCACTCCTGGGCATCAAAACATTCTGTATTTTACTTCAGTTATTGCTCCATAAAAACTTACATATTTGTGCACTCAAAATATAAATGTACATATGTATATATATCTATATTAAATATTTTTAAATGTAACTCATATTCAATAAGCTAAATTCATTAAATGCGTACTATATTTTTAAATTACCATATCAATAACTCTTCACCCTTTGTCTCAAACATACACACACACACACACACACACACACACACAAAGCTGGAATTGTTATCAAGAAATTTTTATTTGCTACCTTACAAACTTGTATCTCCAGTCTGGCCTACTCTAGGCTTTTTTATCCTATGCCTATACCTACAACATGTCTAAGAAAAAACTTTAATTTACTATGTTCAAGTTAAACCCAAGGTCTTCATCCCCAATTATATTTCCCATCTCAGAAACTGACAATTCTATCCTCCCAGTTGCTTGGGCCAAATGCCCTGAAGTCATCCCTGAGTCCTTTCTTTCACTTTTATCTAATCAATGGGCAAATTATGCTGGCTCTTCCAGCCAGAATCCAACTACTCTTCACCACCTTCTCAGTTACCACCCTATTCCAAACCATCTGTACCTCTTGCCCAGACCACTGCAATATGCAACAGCCTGACTTCCCAGCTGCCACTTTGAGCATCCTACTCCCAATCTTTCATCTACATAGCAGGTGGCAGTGCTTTTAAAACTAGGTAGGAGCATATCATTCCTTTTCTGAAAACTCTTCAATGGCTTTCCATCTCAGAATGAAATCCAAATTCTTTTTATGGTCAACACAGCTTCAGATGATCTTGCCCCTTGCTGCTGTTGTGTTATCATGCCTTACCACTCAGGTCTGTACTAACTCCATTCCAGCCCCTATTTCCCCAAAATGCTAAGACAACTCGGGGCTTTTGCACTTATCATCACCTCTGCCTGGTATACTCTTTCCCTGGATATTCACATGGCTTATTACCTCATTATTTAGGTTCCTGCTCAATGTCAACTCCTTATAGGCTTTCCTGCCCATCACTGTATAACACTGCCAAGCCCCATTGCATCTACATACCCAGTACCTATCAATGAATTATTCTGTATCTTTTTGTCTCCCCCAACACAAAAGCAAGACCTGTGATACAGCTTTTGTTTTCTTCACTGCTCCATCCCTAGAGCCAACATGTCCTGGCATATAGTAGGAATTCAATATATATTGCTCAACTAAATTGTATTACTTGGGAGGAAGAACAGACAAGGAGATAAGAAGCAGTTAATATTTCACATCATCACAGTAATGTATGTTTTATGCTTTATGCATTACCATCTAATGTTTTTAACAACCCTCAAAGCCGGTATCACTGAATCTATTTTAAGGCCTATCCCAATAAAAGAGATCATGTTAAAATGTTTCCTTACTAAGCATCATGGGAAACTCAAGTATCTAGTTTCATTGTTTTCCTCCAAATTGTCAGACCAGTATCTGGCTTATCAAAAATGTGCCAGTGAGAAGCAAGTACAGAATGGCAGTTAAGAGCAGATATCTGAAGCCAGACTATTTCAGTTCAAATCTGGACTCTGCCACTTTTTAGCTATAAGACCTAGGTCAACTTATAAACTTTTTATTGCAGTCTCTTCATTTTTTGTTAAGCTCTAAAAGGGCAGAGACTTTGTTCATTGTCACATATATCACCAGCACCTTGATGTCCTCTACAAATATCTGTGGAATGAATGAATGGAAATGTTTCATAGCCTTGTGAGTTTTATGAGTTAGTAGAGCATATAAAGCACTCAGGACAGCCCTGGCAATAGTAAATGTTCAATAAATGTCAGTGTTTTGGTTGTTATTATTTCAGCAGGCAGCTTATTAGGCAAAAGGATTTCTCATTTTGCTCCCAGCTCTGAGATTCCTTACTCCTTTTTCAAGATACTTAACAGACTCAAAAGCGTATTATAATGTTTTATAATAAGAGATAAAGAATTTACATTTTTTAAGAAGAGAGTAATAAAATGCTGGAACAAAGTGAAAAGGATATCATTCACCAATTGTGGGATACATCCTGGTGGCATCTGAGGTGACAGTTTATTTTTTGTGTATTGGATGTAATTGTGTATTTTGATATATATTAGGGGAAAATGACTAGTACTAAGTTGATGACTTAATGATTATTTCATAGGACAAAACTATACTTTAAAAAATATAAAAACATGAAATAAGTAATAGTACAGGTAGTATTCACATGGCAAAAAACCTCTGATATTGGCATGTGAATAAAACAAGTTTTAAGCAACACTGCTCTAGAAAAGCAGCTCTTAATCTGAGGCGCATGGACTCTAAGCCCCTGAACTCTGGTATATTATGTGCAAAGTAATATGTGCATGTGCATATGGGCATTGTTCTGGGGAACCAACCCAGAGTTTTCACCAGATTCTCAAAAAGGATTAAGAATGATTGCTTCAGAATCTTGCAATCTAAAATGTCATCAAATGTCTCTACGAAGAAAAGAATAACAATCTGACAATGCCTCATAACTAAATTGTTTAAAAATCTACAAAGGTAAAATTCTCTAAGTTCATGTACTAATACATAATAGAAATGTCTAATATGCAAATTAATTTATAAAACTTAAGCTAGTGTTCAGTGACTTTATTCTAGAACTAAATGCTTATGATATCTTTCCCAGTAGTAAATTTAAAGCCCCTTGTGAACAAGGGCTATTTGTACCCTCAGCATCTAGAAGAATATTTGGTATAATATATTCTTAATAAATGTTTGATAAATGAATGAATCTCAGGAGGCTTATAATTTTAACAAATTATAGTCAATAAGAATTTACTAACTGTTTGGTGTCTACAACTGTGAAGAATGTAAAACACCTTTGGACTGAAAGTCAAAAACCTGGTCTAAGCCCCAGCAACACCACTTATAGCTGACCCTCACACAACAGGAGTAGTAGGGGTACTGACCCTCTGAGAACTTGAATCTTCATGTAACTTTTGACCCCCCCAAAACTTAACCACTAGCCTGCTATTGAACTAGAAGCCTTACCAATAACATAAACAGTCAGTTAACACATATTTTGTATGTTTTATGTATTATATACTGTATTCTTACAATAAAGCTAGAGAAAGGAAAATTTTTTTTCAAATTGTCTCAAATCCCCAAAATAATTTCCAATATTTATCTACTGAAAAAAATCCACGTATGTGGGCCCACACAGTTCAAAACTGTGTTGTTCATGGGCCAACTGCATTCATTTCTGATTCTACATTTTTTATCTTTAAAAAAATCATTACATATCTATCTCACAAGGTCATTTTGAGGACATTAGTAGAGGTAATGTATGTGAAAAGCTCAAATATAAAATTTTGTTAATCTATGATTATTTTTTTATGCTGTCCTTTCTTTTAAATATAATGTGACATATTTCAGAAGACAAGTTCTACAAGTTATAAGACAAAGAGACAACTCAAGAAATTATATATAAAGATGAAACAATGTAGCACAGAAAAATTAAAACACTCAATATTTCACCTTTCAATAAATTTATTAACTTATATTATTAATTTTTCACATAAGTATTTTATACCTTTGCATTTAGGCTGTAACTTAAGGAAGCATCATTTAAAAGCCCAAAACAGTGCCTTGAACAGAGCAGGTATCCAATACATAGTTACCAATTGACTGTTTATCATGAATATGGACTTTCAGATGAGTTATTAAATATATTTTTAATTTAATTGAAGAGGTTTTAATTTATGTTAGTTGATCATCTATCAAATTATTTCTGCACCAACAGTTTAATCATACTTGAAAAGAAAATGAACTCAGGTACTCACAAGTTATTTCTTCATATGAGCTACTTAATTAGTAAGATAAATTCTTGCGATCTCTACTTTATTTCCCAAGACTTTTAAAATAACTTACCAATTTGGCTGATGAGTTGCCTGAACTGATCAAGGTAGCTTTGTCCCTCTGGGGTTATTCCAAGTTTTCTGATGCCTCGATTGAACTTTTCTGCTCTTTCAAAAGGATACTGGAGAGATAATTTAAAGACTATCTTTGTTAATGAACACCCTTAAACCATAAAATGCCTATCAAATCAACCATGCTAACACCACTTTCCTTTCCAATTTTATATTTCCACTGTGCTTAAAAAAACACGCAAGTATAGCTCTTTGTCTCTGTCTCTCTGTCTGTCTGTCTTGCTACCCTCTCTCTGTCTCTCTCTCTCTGCAGCCCTCTCTCTCTTTGTCTCTCTCTGTCTCCCTCTTTGTCTCTGTCTCTGTCCCCCTGCTCTCCCTGCTCTCTCTCCCTCTCTTTCTCTGTTCTCTGCTCTCTCTATCCCGCTGCTCTCTCTGTGCCCCCCCTTCTCTGTCTGTCTCTCTGTCCTTCTCTGTCTCTCTCTTTGTCTCTGTCTCTGTCACCCTGCTCTCTCTCCCTCTCTCTCTCTGCTGTCTGCTCTCTGTTCTCTCTGTCCCGCTGCTCTCTCTGCTGCTCTCTCTCTCTCTCTCTCTCTCCCCCTACCCGCTCCCTCTGGGGCAGCCACTCTCTCCTTCAGAGAATAAAATCTCTTGCGTGGGAAAAAAAAAAAAAAAACACGCAAGTATAGTGAAAAAAATTTTTAACACAAAATCTACCAATGTTTAGGTCAATATAAATTAAATTTCTTATGGGAAGTAATTGTTAATGCTATCACACTCAACTACTCTATAGATAGATAGAAGAAACCAATTCCTCCTAGAAACATTTGGTTAGAGATTTGTGACAAGTTTCTGTGAACTGAATAGGTATTAGGGACTTATATAAACAAATTCCTTCCCAAATAGTACACACTAGTTAAAATTTCTAGTTACCATCACCAGTGAAAAGTGAATTTTTAAGTGTTAGCTGGATAAAGACTTAGGAAGTTACTCATTTTTATTAATAACAAATAACAATTATTTCAAATTGTATGATTATTTCTCTGAATACAGGTAATCTCTGCTCCAATAAAAATGACACAGTCAATACAACTCTATTGATAATGAATTTTTAATCTTATCGTTTTACTAAGAAAAGTAGTATTTGGCTGCTCTGACATTGAAGAAAACTGACTAGTTTAAAGGAGGGTTGGAACTAGGTGATGCTTATGAAGGGAATTAAAGTAGTTCTGGATGTGGCAAATCAAATATAAGACCCATCTAAGCCTGTTGGTTCTCTATTCACATGGCTACATGCCTCTGTGCTCTGTTACCAGTTAACAATTCTTCTCTTCACTGTGGGAAAACTCAGCCTAGAAGACGAAAGGAAAATAATGTTCTTATAAATTATAGATGGGAATGTCAACTGGTGATGCATTTTTAGAATGTTTGGTAACATGTATCAGAATTTTAAATACTCATATTCTTTGCCCTATGAATGTCTCTTCAAGAATCTGTCTTTCAGAAATAGTCTCTAAATAAACAGAGAGGAATGTGTAAGGATGTTACCTGTATTCGTTAATGCTGAAACTGTCATCAGCAGAAGGTTAAATAAGCTACGGTATATACATCTTAACTATTAACTCTTAAAATTAATGAGGTGGATCCACATGTACTAACATGTGATAAGTACAATGCAAAACAGTATGTATAGTATTGCTCCATTTTTGTTAGGGAAAAAAGCAATATATGCACATATAAGTATGTATGTGTTTCAGACAGACAACTGAAAGGTATCACATTAATTGCTGTTAACAGCAACTGCCTCCAGAAAATGGAACTGGGAGGACATTTGGTTTATGCACTCTATATTATTTAAATATTTCAAAATGAGTATGTATTTTTTTAAAATGACTTTTAAAAAGTAACAACTGGCTACATTGTTTATTTAACTTTTCCTTACACTTTAGCCTACAGAGAATGCAAAGAGTGAGAAACTGTAGGGAAAAATACAAAAAACTTGGAAGCCACACCTAGGAGACATTATGTGAAAAATAATAAAGAAAACTACACCACCAGAGATCCTCATGAATTTTAGCATAAACATTTGCTATAAGACTCAACAGCTGAATCAAACTATTTTAAAAAGAGTATGTAAAAATACCTTATGATCATTTTGGTCCTTGATTTCTCTGAAAAACCGAATATCTTTAATCAATCTGGATTTGATATGTTCATCATACATAAATTGGCTAAATATGTAGAACTTCTTTTTCAAAAACTGGTAGGTGATATTAACCTATAAAATTAAAATTTAAATAAGTGGAAAAAGTTAATACAAAAATTGATTTCAAATCATGTTACTGAATAACAATTATCTATTTTGTTTACTTAGAATGTGTAATATCTATTTATTTATTAAGTATCTTATATTTATAAAGTTTAATTTACACTGGACCTAAAACAGTTAAGTAAATGAACTTCATTACCCAAGCTTACAAAAATTTTAGCTCCACTTAAATACTTTTATTACACTAAAGGAAAAAAAGAAAAAAATGGAAAATACTCTCATAGTAAGAGCTATACTGAGAATCACAAAACCAGATTCAAAACTCTAGTTTTTAAGTCGTAAACCACAGTCAGGTTCTATGTTCCTTCATCTATAAGATTACTTATTACCAACTTACATGTCCAGAATGATACTAAAGTAAGGAACATGGTGCTCTTTGAACTTTCCTGAAGCAAGACAGTAAACACTCAATTGCTTACCCATATACTGAGCACTTCCTAAGTGTGCACGGCAACGTGCCTGCTCTCTCATGCTAGACATAGTCCTTGTCATCATGAAATTTATATTCTAGCAGGTGTGACAGACATTTTAAACAAGTATATGTTAAATAAGTTCTTAAATCTCAGCTGCAATACTTTCTAAAATGAGATATATGGGTGCTGACCTAAACTCATAAAACCCTGAAAAAGTAGGATTTGAGCCAAGTAGACAAAATAATGTTAAGATTAATTCTAACCCATTGATGGAAACCCTATATTAATTTTTATCCCCACTACCCTCAAATGTTGTTGTTTTGGCAAATGTATTACCCAATTACAGAAATGGGTGTGTGCTTTCTCAGAACATTTCTTGTGGCTTAAAACGGCTTTTTCTCCATCTCCTTAGTAGTAGTAGTCTTACTTGAAGTGTAGTCTCTTCTTTATCCTTCCCACTCTTATCAATGGATAACAGCCAGCCTTGATCTTATTTCTGTGCTCACTTTATCACCATCAGACATCAGGAATTTACATTCATTTGTGTGATTACTATATTCCTGGCTAGAGTGTAATCACTATGAGAGCCAGGAAATACCTGTTTTCCTTACCCTACTGCCCACCACAGCACCTAAGACATATAATGCATGTGCATAATTATATCTGTTATGTGAATGAGTGTTTGACAGATGAGGTCAAAGAAGAGTTTTTATCCCAGAAGATTCAGAAATGATCTCTACATGGATAACTCCTTATTTTAAATTTGAAACTCTATGTCCCATTTCTATTTTGATAACCACTAAAGCAGAGCTCCAATCACATTACTTAACAGCTCAAATACTTCAATGCTCCCCCCAACACTAAACTGGTTCCTATGTAACTTCCCAGTCATAACTTCTCCCTGCTTCCTCACTTCCCAATATGCTTAGTTCTATTTTTACTATTTAAGCGTTCACATTGTTCTTTCTGCAAGGAGAAATTCAGTGTGCCCTGAAAACCAGGTAAATTCAAACACTTCTCTTTTGCCACAAAAGGAAAACAGCATACAAGTTCAAGTGATTCTCCCCGGTGACTGAATGTCCATTTTTAAGACTCAAAATATTTTTAGTAAATTATTTTTATGGATTATCAAATCATCGGTAAGCCTCCCTGAAAAAAGAACATGGCTTATGTTAAATAAATTTATCAATGATTTGCCTTCAAAAGCTACTTCCAGAAAATACCAGACAGTCCACACAGATTCATGTATTTATGCTGATGTTCTCAAACCTCCAATGCTATATATGACTGACACTGTAAGATATTATGAAGTGCCTTTTGCATCAGTTTCCATCACATCCAACACAATTTTGTGTGAGACATTTTAATTAAATCAACCAGAAAAATGGAAATTCAGGTGTAATATAAATAAGTAGTAGTGTGTATTTAGCAGAATATTCTATGAGAATACGATTTTCCAAACCACCAAGTTAAACAGGAATCTTTTACCCACCCAAACTCCCAAAAAAGGTTCTTACTGTTGTATTCATGATTCCTGTGCCATGTGTTCGAATTGAATTAGCAATATGGCGAATATTAATAGTGTTCAAATGTTTGTTATTGCTTGTTCGTTCAATAAAAATCTGCAATGAAACAAATTTCTGCTAAGTAACAACACAATCCATAGCAAACACTGGTCAGTTATCCAAAGAAAATTTCATAATATTTCAGTAAAGATAATTTAATTTGGGAAGTCATTCAAGAAGATAAAACAAAGGAATACAGACAAGATGATCTCTAAACAATTATTTTTGCTTTATTTTACTAATTCTCACTTTTGAGAATCACTTGATTCCCTCTCACAGCCTCCCTATTATATATCCACCCACATTTTTTAAAAATTTCTAAAACCCACTCACCTGATTATTAAGATTATAGAGGTATCGAGACACAAATATATGAATGTTTCTCATAATTTCCAAAACATCCAGGCCCTAAAAACAATCCACACAAAAGTTCTATTAAACATTAGTTTAATAAGACAGTTAAACTTATATCAATATAGTGACTTACTGTTTATATTAAGTATCCCAGTAATTTTAAAGAACAACATGCAAAAGGTATGACCAAAAGTTAAAAGACCCTTCTGACATGTACAATGAGGACTATTTCACTGGGGAAAGCTAGCTGTTTGTTATCCCTCTTGAGAAGATAGAAATATTTAAGCTTAAAATTTCAAAGACCCATGACTCACAACCATTTCCCCACCATTCTTTTTTAATTTCATTCCTCAGCTCCTTAATTATTATTATTTTTATTAAAATATCATTGATATACAATCTTATGATGGTTTCACATAAACAACACAGTGGTTTCAACATTCACCCATATTATCAAGTCCTCACCCCCTCCACCGTGGTCAGTCTATCAACATAGTAAGATATTACAGAGTCATTAATTGTCTTCTCGGTGCTGTACTGCCTCCCCCATGACCTACCTTTACTGTGACTGTGAATTATAGTGCCCCTTAATTCCCTTTTCCCTCCCTCCCCACCATCCCCAACCCCTCCCCTTTGGTGATCACTAGTCCCTTCTCATGTCTCTGAGTCTATTGCTATTTTGTTCCTCTGTTTTGCTTTGTTTTTATACTCCACAAATGAGTGAAATCATTTTGTGCTTGTCTTTCTCCACCTGGCTTATTTCACTAAGCATAGTACCCTCTAGATCCATCCATGTTGTTGCAAATGGATTTCTTTTCTTTTTATGGCTGAATAATATTCCATTGTATATGTGTACCACATCATCTTTATCCATTCATCTACTGATGGACACAGGGTGCTTCCATACCTTGGCTATTGTGAATAGTGCAGCAATAAACAAGGGGTGCATATGTCTTTTTGCATCAGGGATCTTGTTTTCTTTGGGTAAATTCCTAGAAGTGGAATTCCTGGGTCAAATGGTGTTTCTATTTTTAGTTTTTTGAGGAACCTCCATATTGCTTTCCACAATGGTTGAACTAATTTACATTCCCACCAATGGGAATGTAGGATGGTTCCCCTTTCTCCGCATCCTCACAAGCTTTGTTGTTTCTTGTCTTTTGGATAGTGGCCATCCTAATTGGTGTGAGGTACAATCTCATTGTGGTTTTAATTTGCATTTCCCTGATGATTAGTGATCTGGAGCATCTTTTCATATGCCTGTTGGACACCCTATTTCTTCTTTGGAGAAATCTACAGATCCTCCACCTATTTTCTAATTGGGTTATTTTTTTGGGGGGGTGTTGAGACATGTGAGTTCTTTATATATTTCGGATGTTAACCCCTTAGCAGATAAATCATTTACCAATATATTCTCCCATACTATAGGATTCCTTTTTGTTCTGCTGATGGTGTCCTTTGCTGTCCTTTTTAGTTTGATGTAGTACCCCGTGATAATTTTTTATTTTGTTTCCTTTGCCCAGGGAAATGTGTTCAAGAAAAAGTTGCTTATGTTTATATTCAAGAGATTTTCCCTGTATTTTCTTCTAAGAGTTTTATGGTTTCATGAATTACATTCAGTTCTTTGATCCATTTTGAGTTTACTTTTGTGTATGGAGTTAGACAACAATCCAATTTCATTCTCTTACATGTAGCTGTCCAGTTTTGCCAACACCACTTGTTGAAGAGGCTGTCATTTCCCCATTGTATATTTATGGCTCCTTTATCATATATGAATTGACCAGATATGTGTGGGTTTATATCTGGGCTTTCTATCCTCTTCTGTTGATCTATGGGTCTGTTCTTTTACCAGTAACAAATTGTTTTTGATTACTGTGGCTTTCTCAGGGAACATAATTCCTCCCCCCCAGCTTTGTGAGCTTTTAGTCAGGAAGCATAATCCCCCACAGCTTTGTTCTTCTTTCTCAGTATTGCTTTGGCTATTTGGGATCGTTGTGGTTCCATATGAATTTCAGAACTATTTGCTCTAGTTCATTGAAGAATGTTGTTGGTATTTTGATAGGGATTGCACTGAATCTGTAGACTGCTTTCAGTAGGATGGCCATTTTGAAAACATTCATTGATTCTATTGTTTTATTCTTCTCAATTTTATTTATTTCTGCTCTGATCTTTAATATATCCCTCCTACTCACTTTGGGCATCATGTGTTCTTTTTCTAGTTGCTTTAATTCTGAGTTTAGACTGTTTATTTGGGGTTGCTCTTGTTTGTTGAGTTACACCTATATTGCTATATACTTTCCTCTTAGAACTGCCTTCACTGCATCCCAGAGGTTTTGGGCTGTTGAATTGTTGTTTTCATTTGTCTCCATATAGCTTGATCTTTATTTTAATTTGGTCACTGATCACTGATTATTTAGGAGCATGCTGTTAAGCCTCCATGTGTTTGTAGGCTTTTTTGTTTTGTGTAATTTATTTCTGCCTTTGTGGTCTGAGAAGTTGTTTGGTACAAATTTAATCTTTTTTATTTATTGAGGCTCTTCCTAAGGCCTAGTATGTGATCTATTCTGGAAAACATTCCATGAACACTTGAGAAGAATGTGTATACTGCTGCTTTTGGGTGGAATGTTCTATAGATGTCTATTAGATCCATCTGTTCTAATGTATTGTTCAGTGCCTCTGTTTCCTTACTTATTTCTGTCTGGTTGATCTCTTGATGTAATTTCCTAAAATAAATGTGTTGCATTCTATTTACCCCTTTAATTCTGTTAATATTTGTTTCACATATTTAGGTGCTCTTATATTGGGTGCATAGATATTTATAATGGTTATATCCTCCTGTTGGACTGACTCCTTTATCATTCTGCAATGTCCTCTTGTTACTTTCTTTGTTTTCATATATTTTGTCTGATATAAGTACTGCTACTCTTGCTTTTCTCTCCCTATTATTTGCATATAATATCTTTTTCCAATCCTTCATTTTTAGTCTGGGTATGTCTTTGAATTTGAAATGAGTCTCTTGTAGGCAGCATATAGATGGGTCATGTTGTTTTATCTATTCTGCCACTCTATGTCTTTTGATTGGTGCATTTAGTCCATTTCCATTTCAGGTGATTATCGATAGATATGTACTTATTGCCATTGTAGGCTTTAGATTTATAGTTATCAAAGGTTCAAGGATAGCTTCCTTTCAATCTAACAGTTTATCTTAAATTACTGATTACTCTATTTCACAGACAAAGATACTTTTTTTCCTCCCCTTTTCTTCCTCCTCCTCCATACTTTATATATAGATCACTCTGTGTATCCCTTGACTGACTCTGTGAGTAGGTGATTTAATTTAGTATTTGCTTAGTAATTAATTGGTCTACTACATTTACTGTGGGTTTATTTTCTCTGGTGACAGCTATTTAGCCTTAGGAGCATTTCCATCTAGAGCAGTCCCTTTAACAGATCCTGTAAGAATAGTTTAGTCGTGGTGAATTCCCTCAAATTTTGCTTACCTGGAAATTGTTTAATCCCAGCTTCAAATTTAAATGATAAAATTGCCAGGTAGAGTATTCTTGGTTGGAGGCCCTTCTGTTTCATTACATTAACTACATCATGACACTCCCTTCTGGCCTGTAAGGTTTCTGCTGAGAAGTCTGCTGATAGCCTGCTGGGATTTCCTTTATAAGTGATCTTTTTTCTCTCTCTGGCTGCTTTTAGTACTCTCTCCTTGTCCTTGATCTTTGCCATTTTAATTATTTTATGTCTTGATGGTGTCTTCCTAGGGTTCCTTTTGTTTGGGGATCTTTGAGCTTCCATGACCTGAGTGTCTATTTCCTTCCCCAGACTGGGGAAGTTTTCAACAGTTATTTCCTCAAAGAGAATTTCTATCTATCCCTTTGCCTCTTCTTCTGGTACCCCTATAATGTGAATATTGTTCTGTTTGGATTAATCCCACAGCTCTCATTACTCTTTCATTCCCAGAGATCCTTTTAGGTACAAGTTACCTATTAAGAAATCCATCATTCTTCAGTTATAACTCTAATACCTACTGGTGTCATATTGTTCCACAGCTTTTCTAACTGGGACCCAAAGTAGCATCACAATACCAATATACTGTTTATTTTTGTATCCCTAACCACAGTTCAGTGACTAGCATGCTCTCAGTAAATACTAAATGTACTAATAAATGAATGAAAGGATATACAAACTGATTCTGGAAATGGTCCCTAAATGCAGTAGGACAAAGGAAAAATTAAAACTCTCAAATTTTGAAATTGCATAAATATTTTTTGGTAAATATTTATCTGGATTATCTTAGAATTACATGCAAATTAACCAAAAACAAATTTCTGCACTCATGAGATATTACCATATTGTAAATTAGCTCATTGAATTAGTGAAGCTAAATGTTTCTTTGCACTCCTTCTTTTAAGAATACATTTATAATCATATAAAAATATGATTATATTTATATCATATATTTCATATAAACCATTTTTCCTACAGTTTTGAAGTTTATTACATCTAGGTTTACAGTGCTTAACTGGGACTGTTTCTAAATCTATATATATTTCATATGTTCAGCAAAAAGCAAAGTATAAACAGGAAGCCTGTGGTAAATTCTTTCATAAAGCAAATTAGCACTTTTTTTTTTATTATCAAGTATAAGGTTTTACATAGCAAGTATTTTCTTGAAATATAAACACACGCTTAATAAAAAAGAAAAAGATTTCTCATATAAATACTGTTATCATGCTGTAATCACACTGTGCAAAAAAACATTTTATACTATACCTGTTCCAAAGTCTGACTAGGAAGATGTGCCTCTGTCATAACCAATCCATAACGCTGAGAAGCTAAATTTCTCATTTCACTGTAAGTGGCCCAGTCATGAAGAGCTACTGTTGTTAGATTGTAGAAAGTCTTGTCTAGGTAATGAGTTACATAAGCTGTAAAAAAAAAAAAACAGAAAAACTTTGGTTCATGAAAATGTAAAATGTAAAAAAGGAAAAGAAACTAAAAAGGAAACACCTTTTCTTTGAACATTAAATTTCTTCCTTTAAAATAAGGGAAATGAAAATGAAGAAACAAAAGGAATTAAAGAATAAATGAAATAACACCAAAAAGATTCCCTCAAAGGTTCTTTTTTGTTATTTAGGGGGAACAGATAAAGACTATGACTCTAAGAAGGAAAGCAAAACACTAACCTCGAATGTCAATGAAACGATTGAAAAACCTAATTGGATTCAGAGAGAAAAACAGGGCCAGGTCTTTCATGCCAACTCTGAAAGGGTTTCGGTCATCCAGCTTTAAATGAGTATGCACAGAAAGTCGCAGATCCTTCTCTATTTCTTTGCACAACTTGTCCAGCAAATGCTATTCACAAAAGATTTGATATCTTAATTTTTCAAAATGATATTCCAATTGTACTGTTCCTCTAGGTGTCTGTGCTTTGACCATTAAGAGTTTTACAATCAGTGCAACAATGACAAAATGTGTCACAAATATGTTTTTAAGAGTCTGAATATGATAAAATACTATTTTTATTGGGAAAGTGAAAATTACTTTGCACTCCACTTTAAACCAATAGTTCTTTTGGCCAGGGAGCAGTTAGTTACAATCTAAGGTTTTATTTTCATTAATACTTTAACACCCTTGAACAGCAAAAGCTAATGTCTGATGGTTTCATTATAAGGAACATGAATATAAAACATAAAATTTATGGAATCCAGCTACAGAGGAAAGGTCCTGAGAATATGCAAGAAAGGAAACTTAAAAGCTTCCTTGCTGTAATCATTAAAAATGACAAAATTCTTTGAGCTAAAGATAATGAAGTTAATGTCTTTTCTTATCTACCATGGAATTCCAAATACTGGCCAAACATGTATCTTATTTCTAAATATGAGTATTTAATACAAGAAATCATAAAAGATTTTTCATAATTTTACCAAACCTGAATAAGGTTTATACTGTGAAGTTTACTCATTTTTAATTCCTCCCTGTGTATAAAAATATTGCTAGATGGAAATTTAATCTTAATAATAGCAGTGTTTATAAAACACATTTCATTAAAACAGGAAAGGATGTACCATATTGCATTTGATTTGTTAAACAAGTAAATATTTTAAATATTAAATGAAATATAGTAAAATTTTGATAGTTGTCTTAAATATATTAACATTAGCAGCATTCAACGTTCAAATTCATGTTGCATTTGCAGTCTCCTAATAACAAAACTTTAAATTCAAGTCTACTATTAAGTAAAATTAAAAAAAAAAAAAACTCTGCCAATTCCTAGTCTGGATTTCTATTCAAAAATTAAAGACCAATTTAGCACAATGGTGATAATGTAACTAAAAATAGTTCCTTTGTTCTAGACAGTGATTTATAAATACTAATTTTAAATTAGTGAGTCTGCTTCAATCCAAAAACTTATTCCAAACACAGCATTCCAAATACATGTTCTAAGCTTTTCAATCTCAAATATATTACCTCATTTAAAATTTCCATAATTTCCTTGTCATAGCAATCCAGAAGCATTTCATAGGACTCTAAATGCCTTGCATGCATCATAGCAGGCACACAGTCACGTAAAGCACTGAACATGTACTAAAAAGAAAATCAGAGTGTACATGAAGTTAGAAAAAAAGCTCTAATCTAAATAATATTACAAAGGTTAATTATCTATCTTGAAAATCTTGATCTGCAGGCTGTTTTTTTAAATATGACTCTTACATTCCAAAATAAGACTCAGATTTTATTCTCTAAAGCATATACTCTAAGTATACAAAAATACACACTCATTTATCCTTTCCTATCTTGGGCATTCGAATACACTTATTTCCACAAAGATACAGAAAGATCTGAATAATATATACTTTGCTGACAGATAAATATCAGACTATTTCGACATAAACTAAAATCAAGTGAAATGAAAATGATTAGGAATACCATGGGAAAAGTCACATACATTAAGTTTAATTCATTAGTATTCATATAAAATTTAACTAAAGGCTGCATAAATTCTTACCAAATATGCACAGCATTGTATGCAAAAAATATTAGCTGTCAATTTTAAAATGGTTTATTCAATCAAATAATGTTTTATAACTAATTAGAATGGTACAGTGACTAAAAAAATGATGGGTTTATTCTTTTTATTACTCTCTACTTACATGCAATCTTGCTGCATCAATGGCATTTTCATATACATCATCTAAATAAATTGGGAAGACAGCTCGATGCCAGTATAAAAAACAACAGTCACATTGCATTTGAACTCTACAATGTAAAGTACTAATTAGTGGTATCAAAATTGAAGTAGCCCCCAAAGTAATGAAAGAAACATTATATACCATAAGTATACATGCTCATTTTTGTATTCTCTGTATCACTTAACCCAAAATTAGTGCAGAAAAGAAACACAAAATAAGTAGTTCCCAAATTGAACAAAGGTAGCAAAACACTCAAATACCTGACACTGTCAATTCTAAACATATGCTTTACTTTTTTAAAACATACTTGAAAACCAATATAGATAACTTTTAAACAGAGCTTAAATTTATTTTCAGTATTATTTGATATGACTAGATGCATGATACTTGTATCACATGCACCATTTCACCTGTCTCAAAGTTTTAGAACCTTTTAAAAAACTGGGACCAAAATAAAAAAGCAGTCACACTTAACCTATCATCTTTGCTAATGACTATTTCACAAAAATGGCCATTCAGTATCTTATGATGAAGGTGGCTCAGGATTTCTTCTTTCAAGGATGGAAAGTTAAATGCTACTAGCTACAAAAATCTCAAGTTTCTCAGAACAAAAACATTAAGTTGTAAGTGAACATTAAATGGAAATTGAGCTGTTACTTTAATCTGGCTGAGAATCAAAATTCAGAAGACCTAATTTCCCTTCAAGAAACGTACTGCTTACTCAATAAAAAGAAAATGCTGAAGCCACAAGGAACTACAATTATAAATAAGCCTTCCAAAAACCAATTCATCTTAGTGACTGGCAACCAACAATGTAATTCAAAATAAAATTACAGAAGGCTATGTGTGTAGATGAACCTTGTTATATAGCAGCAGTTTTAAAAGCTCGCTAGAAATGCCCATCACAACAAGCCAGACGCTCTAAGGGTACATCCCCTACACACAATACATACATGTTATCCCATGGGGGTTCTTCCAGAAACTACATCCTTATTGTGGAAACAAAGCTGAAGAAATATGATCCCTAAACACAGTCTCATTTTCGTCATGCTAACAGCATTACAAAGAGGAACTAATTGTCTATCTGGCTTGTATTTCTTCTCTTGCTGTGCTAAAAAGAAAAGCAATGTTTCTATTAGCCCTTTCTTTTGAGTATCATTACAGATCCCTACTTACCTTTCTCTAAGTTCACTAATAAGGTCCAGCTTTTTCATGACTACTTGAAGTGGGAAGAGTTCTTCATCTTTAAATGTTTTCTATCAGGGAGGGGAAAAGAGGGCAATCAAAGTAAGGACAGGTTTCTTTGGTCAGTAACAAGGAAACCGTGAAATCTCAGAACTCATTTTTATTCCATAATAAGAGGAATACACTTACCATTTGTGTGCCAACGCTCAGTGCCAAAGACACGATAAGCCGTCGTTGTTTTGTGCTTGGTCCATTTAGAGTGTTTTCAGCCAAAACTAGAGCAGAGAGCACATCAAGACGCTGCTCGCTATATTTTTTGTCAGAAATTACTCTTTTCTTAGAAACAAAAGAAAACAGGAAAACAGCAGTTTTATTTCTGAGCCAATAACAAGAGACTCAAGAAAAACTTCTCCATTATTCTTTCCATGATTCAATTCAAAAGAGCTAAGACAAATACTTTCCCTGTTCAGCTTCTTCTAATAGATTATCTCTTAGCACTGTCAGAGACAGTAAATGTATCAGGCATATGTTAAAATTTCCATACTAGGCTTTTTGAGAGGTGTTTCACAAAGGCAGCATAGGAAGATCCTAAAATGTCCATATTAATTTAATAAGGAAATCAATTTTTAAAAGAGATGCCTATTTTAAAACTGCAAACAATGTCAGTTGTGTTAAGAGAAGTATGTTAATGTATTAGATGCTGTAAGTTCGGAGTAAGATAACCCTAATCACTCTAAATAAAAATCATAAATTCCCATAGAGATGAATGACCAAGAACATTGTATTTGAAGGAATGGCGTAAACAGGCTGAACTAGAATAACACATATAAAGCAACAGAAGATCAAACTAAAAAGATAATTACGTGAGTATATAATAACTTTTATACCTTGGCCACAGAAATAGAGTTAAGAGCCTGATGTTGAAGGTGCTGTGTTATATGTGAAACTGAATCAGCCACAACCATGCTTCTCCTGTGGAACATATGTTCTATTGCCTGAAAAGAATCAGAAGTCATTTCACCAAAATGAATGTATAACTTACAGGCAAAATTACATAATTATCTTTATGATCTTGGGCTAGTTAAGGAATTTGTAAATGAGATGCAAAAAGCAAGCACTACCATAAAGGATAAGATTGGTAAATTCAACTATACTAATATTAAGAATTTGTTCATTAAAAGCCACTATAAATAAAATTAAAAGGTAAGCCAATATATGAGGAAAATATCTGCCACAAACAAGGGATTAGTACTCAGAATAAATAAAGAGCCCAAATGAATGAAGCATTTTTTTTTAAAAAGGCCAATAATCCAACCAAAAACTGAACAAAAGACCTGAATAGATTTTTTCATTTAAAAAGAAAAAAATACAGTTAAGAAATATTTGAAAAGATACCATCATTTTATCAAGAGAATGAAGATTAAAAACAAAATAATTTACATCCACTAATTTGTGAAATAAAAAGCCCGGTAATACCAATTTTGGCTTGTTGGGGGAACAATTGGAAGTCCATCTAATATATTCTGAAAGGTATATACACTGATGTAACTACTTTGGAAAACAATTTGGCATCATCTTGAAAAGCTGAACAGGTACATAACATAACCCAGCAATCCATTTGGTAGGTATATAATACCTCAGAAAAACTCTTGTACCATTACACCAAGAAACATAGATAAGAGTAGCAAAATTTTTCATAGAAGCAAAAACTAGAAACAACCCAAAAGTCCATCCACAGGAAATCTACACAGCAATAAAATGCATGAACTACAGCTACTCATCCCAACATGGATAAGGGCAAATACAAAACTTTGATTTTAAAAAGGCCAAGTCAAAGAATACTAAACAATAAATGATTTATAGATTCATTCATGTGTGGTGAACTAGAAAGAAAAACAAGGGAATGATAAACATAAAATTCAGGACAGTGGTTTCCTCTGAAAGAGTAGGATAAGATAACTTACCCTACTAGGATAAGATGTCAGAAAGAGACAACTCAAAGCATTTTGAAAATATAGGTAACATTGTATCTCTTAAATGGTATGGTGGGTTTTTAAGTGTTTATAATTATTTGTTAAAATTATGCTTATATATTAGATATATATATGCACCTATACATACATACTTCTATATTTATATTTCATAAAAAGTAACTGGCAATAATATATCTTAAAGAAGAAAGGCTAAAAATCCAAAGGCACTATCTCCAATAAAAATCTTTACTTTCTAAGCAAATCTTAAGATCATTATTAACAGAAATTTACTAGCAAATCTTAATTTCAATTTTTACAAAAGTTTAAGTGAGCTCTCCTGCCTACAAGGGGTATTTTTTATTTACACAGTATGCTAAAAAACATTTCACCATATTTCTAGTATTCAAATTGATATTACAGCACCTTCTCTAAATTATAAAATAGTCTCATGCTAACTAGCCTCATGTGCATATGAACACTATAAAATGGATAATTTTGCAATTGTATCTTTTTTAAACTCATGCAAACATGCTTCAAACTTCTATGAGTAAAACTTTACTAATAAGGCTAACATTTCATTTTCCTCCTTTTCTCTCTTTGCTACATGTTAACTTTTAATAAAGCTTAAATATAATGCATTTTATTGTATGTACCTCAATTTAAATTAAACCTTTAAAAAGTTTAAATATATTTGCCATTCATACAAAAGTTACTCAGAAATTTCTTACAATGGCTAGTTCCTTTATCAAACTGAGAGATAAATACTCTTTCCCACAATTTTTGATTCTCATAATCAAGAAGCCAAATCTTAAAGAACCATCTCAATTTAACCTTGGGTCAATTCTCAATTATAATAGCAAGGTAAAACAATCTAAAACCTACCTTGAGAAGTTCGATAAGTCTGCACAATGCCTTAACTGAGGTTTTGGTCATTGGCTTTTGCGTGGACATGTAGAGATTCATTGTGGTTTTAATAATGGTACTAATACTATATGCATATAAGAAGCCCTATAAAAAATATATAAAACATTGATTACAATCACAAGAAAAGGCTTCATTTCTTCAGAATTTCATTCTGTTTAATAATTATCCCTCAACTTACTAGTAACTAGTATTTCTAAAGTTCATTTTAAAATCAGCTCTTAAGATTCTAAAATATTCTTCCTTACAAGTTTCAAGGCAGCCCTTAAAAGTTTAACTTACCACATACCAGTAGTTTAGTGCTGTTGAAATTATAGTGTATAATCATAGTTAAAGAATCTCTCCAACAACAAAAACAATCTTCAGAGAAATGATTTGGATGCTAGGAAGGTATCTATTCATCCTTATCTTACCTACCAGACAAGAGGATAAAGACTTCTGTCTTTGGCAGCTTAAGACAAGAGCTTAGGAATCTAAGAACCAAGAATTGAAAAAGAGGAGAAAGAGAGCTGCTTTCTATGTATCTCTCAAATACAGACATAAAAAGGTATTTCTTCATTCCAAGCCAATTCCCCCTTTCCTTTTCACCTCAGCCAATCCCCACTTCCATCTGCTACCATGTCCCCTGGGTATGTTGATGCTAATCAGTCTTCCTCTCCTTCCAGCCCAATAAGAACAAATTCTCTCCTACCCTTCTTATTCGTTAAGGAAGCATACAGGTCTTATGAGGTTTAAACAAAATTTTAGTGCTAGTCAAACCAGGGAACAGTGGAATAAGAAAATGGGAAAAATGGTATTACTCCTCAAATATATTTTCATTGAGGCCCAAAAAGGATACAGGAACATGATGGAGAGCCTTTGGGTTTATAAAAAACCAAAAAAAGATAGATGCACAGTTTAGAGATGGACCTTAACTATACTATTGTGGATATATCCAAGGAGCTGGAGCAGAAGCTATATGGCAGTGCCTCTCATGTCCTACTATATGTGAGGCAAGTACCCTCCCATCAGTAACAGTGGCTCGCTAAAGCAGTGATATTCAGTGGGAGTGGGAGGTGGGAGCTCCTCTCAACCAGCAGTGGCTCTGTGGTGAAGAGATGTGCTAAATTAAGAGAATAAGAAATGAGCGAGAAGGGTAGCATCCTAAGAAAGGTGACTGTAAGACCAAAGCTTAGGGCATATATGGAGGAAAGAGCCACAGTCTTACCTTGGCAGCTACAGGACTATCAGACTCTGCCCTAGTGCAGCACTAGGGAAAGTTAAAAAGCAGAAACAAGTGACAGCAAAAGTCTATCTCTAAGACAGGAAGAACAAAGGAGGTATTTTTGGAGGGTAGAACCCATGGGCCAATATCACACCATTCCAAGACGGTCATTATTTTGTGAAGGATATAAATGAAGGATGTATTTTTAAATCTAAATGAGAAGGGGAGAGGTCTGAGGTCTCTTTCTGTTAGTGGCAGAATCATTTGGACCAACCTTTCCTCAGAGAACAACCAGAAAATCTGGGCAAAACATCTTTTAAATTTCTCAGAATGCATCAAGGAGCTACCACGAAAATAAGGAAATTCAAGGCCAAAACCTGTGAGAAGACAAAAACCCAGAGAAGTGAGTCTGGCATCTGAGGCTGCTTTCCCTTAGAGTCTTCTGCCCATTCCAAAGGAGGAGAATAAAGACAGAAGCCGAGCATATCTTTCAACATCTCACATGAAGGGAAGGGGTGTAAAATTAGGAGTTCATGGTCCATCACAGAGGGCAGGGGATCCTGGTAAACCACCGAGGGTCTGGGCTTGGATCCTGAAAAACTACTCCCTAAAAAGTAAGGGTAAACTAGATAAACAGCCATCACAGGATTTAGGTCCCACTTAAAATCATCTCAGTCCATGACTGGGCTGAGGTCATTTGGATTGTTAGGTATCCTAGACTAACTGCAATTCAGAAACAAAGATTAAGTCCTCTCTGGAGGAAGGAAAACAGTATCCAGATCCTCAAATTAAACCTACAGTTGTTCATATACAATGTATGACACTCTAAAAAACAACCAGGTATACAAAGGGATAAGGCAGATCCAAATACAACTGAAACAACAGATAAAGAAATATCCAGATAATGAAGTTATTAGACATGGGCTTCAAAATAATTATGCTTAATATATTGAAGGAAATAAAATTATTTCAGAAAAGAACTGTAAAACTATTTTTAAAAGCTGAAAAATTAATTAAAATTAAGAACTCAGTAGATGGGTTTAACAGTAGATAGACGTAACTGGAGAGAGAATTAAAACAAAAAGAATGAAGAGAACAGAAATAGTATTTGGACTAACATCAACATCCTCTGGAAGAGTCATTCCAGAAGATGATCATCAAAAAACTTCAACAAAGACCCTAGCGCTGTTGCAGTTGTAGCTGTATTCATCCCACTGGTTCCTGGACTTGCCAATGGAATGAAGAAGGAGGTATCTAAGCTGGCCTGTGCATACAGTAAAACAACAAATTTGACTGGATCTATACTGTTGGAACTCAACCAAGAATTAGGAGAAGTGCAAGTTGCAGTGCTCCAAAATCGTGTGACTATAGACAATCTACTGTTAAAAGAACATATGGGATGTGAACAGTTCCCAGGAATGTGTTGTTTTAATTTGTCTGATTTTTCTCAAACTATTCAAATTCAGTTAGACAATATCAATCATATCATTGGTAAGTTTTCACAAATGCCTAGGGTACCTACCTGGTGTTCTTGGTTTCACTGGATATGGCCGGTAATTGTAGGTCTGCTTTTGTTATGTAGCTGTATTTCTATGATGTTGATGTGTATACGCAATTTAATTAGTAGTTTAAAACCTATACATGCTTATGTTACTCTACAAGAAGATATGTCAAAGAAATAATCAATCTTCCCATGTTTTCTTCCGTCTGCTACTTCTATAGCTTTTCTTCTTCCTTCATAATTACAACCCTTTAGTAGAATTCGTGCCTCATATCGAAAATTACCGAGTATCATAATTCTTCCAAGTGGTAAAGATACCTCAAGACAAATGCTGGGCATAGAAGCCACAGGGCATAAATCTGCAAAGAAGTAAAAAGCTAACCTTTTCAAACAATATTGCTTCTCTCTCACTTACCAACTTTACATTTCCCTGTATGGCCCCGGAAGATGACTGGTTAGCCAGAGACGGGTAAGATTCCTCAAGGGAGGAACAACCTAAGACAGGCACAGTCGCAGGGGGGCCATCAGGTGAGAA